CTTCTATCTAGTAAAAACTATTGAACACTATACGTATCTGTTCAATAGATTTAAAATTTAGAGTGCCCTTCATAGCTTGCACAGTTTCATTGCTATTTAACGCAAGGGATCCACTTGTGTACGTGTGTATTAGGGATAAAATCTAACATAAATGTGTTATTTGAAACGATAACACCTTACACACAGCACCTTACCTACATCACAAGCAGTGTTCTCCCTAACAGCATTAGTAAATACTACTGACAGCAGTCAAGAATATAGAAGCATTCAGATCAGACAGAGAACAGATCCATGAGGAGACAAATGACAAATGTTATTTCTTTTCCAAGCCAAGTAGTAATGCTTTCCAAATGAACAGAACAACTTTCTGTTGTGAATGCTGTGCCTAATATAGGAGAACTGTGTGTAGTGCTTTGTAAAAAGACAAATGTAAATGGCATTTTTGAAAGCCAAGTTTAGATTGTTGTTAAGTGGTTTTAGTGATTGTGCCAAAAGTTTCAATTTTAGTATATTAACAATCTAACCTGTAAACCCTGCAGTAATCATTATCGGTTTACCCATTTTTGTCCTGATGTCTTGCTTCACTTTCAGCACCTTCATCATCCTCTCTTTAGCTCTCTCTTCCTCAGCTCTCCTCTTCCCTTCCACCTCCTGTAGGATCTTTCTGTCCATTTCAAAATGGCGTCCACTGTTTGCTGCCACCATCTCCTCTATCTTCTCCAGCAGCTCTGTGACCTGAGTGTCATCACTCCTGTTCTTATTGTTGAGAACATGATACCTGTTCCCACATTTCTCAACCAGCCACTGGAGCTCCTTCCCTTCTCTCTCAATGTGCTGCTCTATGGCTGTGTCTCCCAGACAGTCTCCATGAGTGAACAGCACTATAGTGTGACTCCACACTATGTCAGTTAGAAGTTTTAGATGTCCTCTCAATGCTTTCCTCTCTTTCTCTTTAAAAGATGTTCCTACATGTATGATCAGCAGTACAGCATGAGGTCCTGGAGGACACAGAGACGCACTGAGCACAATCTCCTGTTTCAGTAGCTCAGTGCTCTCCTCTACATCAGTGTCATTCAACCATCCTGGAGCTTCAACCACAGTGATGTGTCTCCCTGCTACTTCTCTCTGTCTCTTCACACACTGAGCAGCTCTCTTTAACTCAAACTCCTCTCTGTTCAGGATGGTGTTTCCTGCTGAACTCTTCCCAGCATCTCTGCATCCCAGCAGCACAATCCTCAGCTCTGAGAGGTTGTCTGTGTTGTCTGTTAAAGAAAAACAGAGCCTCTGTAAAATCACTTTAATTTTCTCTTCTATCCTGAAAACTACTAAACTCTATATGTATCTATTCAATAGATTTAAAATTCAGAGTGTCCTTCATAGCTTACAGATTTACAAAGTTTCATTGCTATTTAATGCAAGGGATCTACATGTGTACGTGTGTATTAGGGATCAAATCTACCACACATACATTGTTTGAAATGATTATGAACTGTACAATATATAGATTTAGATGCTGATATTCACAGTGTGTGTTTACCTGCACTTTATAATCCAATAATTTCAGAAAATCAGATTTTCTTAGTAATTCGTTCAACACCTTTACATGCACTTGAATAGATAGTAGGAAAACTCCAGGTCTACATGAGGCAAACAGTAATTGGATTCCTGCTTTGTAACCTGCCAATAAATTCATGGAAAAAGAAGGAAGGGCATAAACATTTTAACATCATGCCTATGCTTTTTTTTTTTAACTTTGAGTGACTTTACTGGCAATTCCTCCTTGACCCCGCCGTACCATCCTCAGCCTATGCCACTGCACTACACAATACAACAGTTCTATACACAAGCCAACCCACTATTACAACAAACCCTGCTTCACATTGCCAAATTATAATGACTGCATTAAACTAGGTTCATCCTCCATAACAGAGGTGCACACAGACCACTTTGTTCTTCTTATGCAATATTTATTATAGATACACAAATTTAAGCAAATATTTGAAATGAAGTAAGACGACAATACTTTAAAAAAAACAGGTGTGTGTAGCATCAGTGGGCCAGGCTTCCATACAGACACTCTATGGTACAACGTGCCGTAACCAGTTCACTAATTAAAGGAAAGCAACAATAAAAACATTCAGAACAGTGACACAAACCAGATCATAATACAGCAGCAGCCACATTCACTTATACACCAGCAGCAAGCAACTCCCACCAAAGCATTAATGGACAACAAATTTCACCATGTTCAAGAAACGTGTGTCATGCTGGATCCAGTTTTGGGATTTACAGCATTATTCTCGAGTTTATTCTACAAGGACTTTTATTGTGAAGAGTGGGTTAGTCCGATTTGTTCTGTGTTGATACCTGTATGACAGGAAGAACTAGTCGGTCGGAGTTCAGATGAAAGTGAATGCAGACCTGAGCTAATGCTAGAGCTAGCTGTTAGCTTAAAGCCTTGCTTTCTGTATGGCATGGCTGGGGCCAACTACAGCCTTTAATAAAGCACAACTTGTGCATACATCGTGTGTCTTCTTCTATAGCAGTAAACCTTACCTTATGTAAGGAATTAAAAATATCCTGTGAGAAGGACTTGAGGAGCTGGGTGTGTGAGATTGCACATTGGCTCATCCATCACATGATCTTATGATCTATTATAAATCAATGTTTATTCAGTGTCATTGCTGTCAGTGTTGGCTACTCTCATCTAAAGCCAATGTGTATTTAACATCACTGTTGACAGTGTTAGGAGCTGCTGACGTTCATTGACAGTTTAACACTGATCCAGCATTGCTGACATTGAAATTTCAACCTTGACCAAAATGACCATTCTGATGGAAAATCAGTAATAGATCAATAACACCCTGCTAGCTGGGTAGTTTTATCATATTTATTTAAATAAGGGGCACTTTGGTTATTACTTTGGTAACACTTTACATTAAGGGTCGCTAATCAATCATTAAATATATAATAATCAACTATTAGTTTCCCATTATTTAGTTATTAGTTAACTCTTCATTAAGCATTAGCTATTACTTAGTAATAGATTAAGCATTTATCAATTAGTAATTAAGTACACTGTTAGTTGATAAGTTAGTTTGTCGTTAGTTTGTGGCTTACTTACTCATTATCTGTGTACTAACTGCTGCTTATTACATTGTTAATTAACTAATAAGTATTTTTCTTCATATAAAGAAGTAACGTGATAACTTACTAGCACTTATGTGTTAATCCCGCTAATTATCTGTTACTTAACTTTCCATCACCTCCATATATTCAGTTGCTTCACTTTTCTCACTTTGGTTCTTGTTCATTAAAGATGCTTATGGTCACATCTGACCGTAAGATGAGCGCACACAAATTCATGGACGGTTTTGTTATTCATCACGTTCATCTTGGCATATCTGTAATCATATCTGGTAGAAGTGCATGTAAATTTGGGCATAAATGCTGGACATGTGGCTAATTAACCAAAACTATTATCAACATAATCTGTAATTGCAAAAATAAGAACAACAATAGAAAATATCAATAATACTAATTTGTGTGCATGACAGTCCAGTACAAAAGTGGATGTACTTACTTTACATGCACATTGATATAAACAAGTGCTGCAACTATTTCATGTTCCATTTAAAGACACATTACACTGTGATTTTGTTTCATACTACTGACTCACAAACACAGCTTCGGTCATACACTGCAATAATACAGCGTTTATTTTAGGGAATTAATTACACTAAACAATCACTCTACTATGTTAACAACACTGAGTATTTTGTTTTATTTCACATTTTATTTTTTTCCAGTTGTTTTCATTTTAATACTAGTAAGTTTGGTCAGCAGGGAAGGAGTGCACTCACTGCTGGACATCAAACTCCACCCACGAGCACGGCCATTAGCTTTCATGCCAAACACTGCCGTTTTATTGGCTGGCTACTGCATGAATTAGGGTGTGCTTCATGTAAATGATATGTAAATGAGGTGCTGGTTGGCTGGTTTCATGCACTGAAGCTGATTGATCATTTATGCTCAAATCTCCACTTGTTTCCACATCGTACAAAATTGTTATGAATCAGACGCAGAGTAGTTCAAACCTTATAAAAGGCAAGAAAAGTTTTTTTTTACGTAACTTTGATGATTAATGGGACAAGATTCGTGATTACTTCCGGTTTAAGCATTAGCAGGGTAAAACTCACTTCCTCTCCATATAGCTACTGCAGACGCGCTGTCAGAGTGTTTAGTAGTGAACTGTAACGCTCAAACACGGAGCTCCAGCAGCTGTATTTTAGTTTTCCGGCACGGTTGTGACAGCGAGAGTAAGAAGTGGACAGAAGCTCTGATTTAACTGTAAACAGAGCTAAAATGCTGTATGTTGTTTTTACTGCAGTTCTGCTGCAGCTGCTCTACATCAAGCCGTCTCTGTGTCTTTGTACAACACGCCAGCGATTTCCGTAATATTCTGTTTTCAAAAGAAAGAAGAGCTTTTATATGTAGCATGAATGTTATAGACTCTGTTTATATTAAGATAGCTATACTGGCTAGAAGCTACTGCTAATCAAACTAGCCCGGCTAACATGAAGCAGCTTTTTCAGATGTTTTTTTCAGCTGGGAGTCGCGTTTTTGACTGAGCAGTGAAAGGTGGATGTTTTCTGAAGTGCTGCTTCAGAAAGTGTGCTACTCATACGAAGCTGGTGCTCAAACTGCTAATGGTAGGCTAGCTAATTAGCGACTGTAGCCTGCTAGCCTACCGTAAGCTAATACAGTTTAAACGAGGTCTGTCAAATAGACTTTACATATAAAAGTTTTTGTTTGTGTTTATGTCAGAAGTCTCTGCATCCTGTAGCTAAACGTGTCACAGAACCTGCTCCACGTTAGCCGGCTGGTGGCAGCAGCTACTGAACGCTAACTAGCTTCCTTATTTTGTGAACACAGCTACAGTTAGAAATGGCTTCTAGCGTTGCTAGCTAGCTACAGCTAAACAACGTCTACCAAATTCATACTACATAGAAGAACTTCAGTTTCTTTTGAAAACAAAAATATTACAGAAATCGCTGGCATGTTGTACAACTACAGAGATACTGCTTGATGTGAGCAGCTGCAGCAGCAGTAAGCAGGGCTGCATCACACACAGCATTTTAGCTGTGTTTACAGTTAAATCAGCGCTTCCATTCACTTCCTTTTGTCATGATAGTGTACGAAAACTAACATATGTCTGTTGTAGCTCAGTATTTGAGCATTATAGTTCACTGCTAATGCTTAATCCGGATGTAATCGCGACTCTTTGTGAAAAGGGCCCATGGCCATTAGATCTTTACATTTTGACCATTAATTACTTCTTAAATTCCACTTATTCAACCATTCATTGCTTCTTAAATTCCTCCTACTTAATCATTAATTACTGCTTTCGTGTTGTCACTTTACTTGGAGGGACACAAAAGCAGTAATTAATGTTTAAGTAAGAGGAATTTAAGAAGTAATTAATGGTCAAAATGTAAAGATCTAATGGCCATGGGCCCTTTTCACAAAGACTCGCGATTACGTCCAGATTAATAGTTAGCAGTGAACTCCATCCATCCATCCATCCATCATCTAAACTGCTTATCCTTCTGGGTCGCGGTGGGGTGCTGGAGCCTATCCCAGCTGTCATTGGGTGGAAGGCAGGATACACCCTGGACAGGTCGCCAATCCATCGCAGGGCAGACAGACAGACATACACATTCACACAGTCACACACACCTAGGGGCAATTTTAGCATGTCCAATCAGCCTGACTGTATGTTTTTGGACTGTGGGAGGAAACCGGAGTACCCGGCGGAAACCCACACAGACACGGGGAGAACATGCAAACTCCACACAGAAATGACCCTGGTCACCCGGCTGGGAATCGAACCCAGGCCCTTCTTGCTGTGAGGCGACAGCGCTACCCACTGTGCCACCGTGCCTAGCAGTGAACTATAATGCTCAAATACTGAGCTACAACAGACATATGTTAGTTTTTGTGCACTATCATGACAAAATGGCCATTAGATCTTTACATTTTGACCATTAATTACTTCTTAAATTCCTCTTACTTAACCATTAATTACTGCTTTTGCGTTGTCACTTTACTTGGAGGGACACAAAAGCAGTAATTAATGGTTAAGTAAGAGGGATATAAGAAGTAATTGATGGTCAAAATGTAAAGATCTAATGGCCAATAATCATCAAAGTTACGTAAAAAAAAGAACACCTTTTTTTGCCTTTTATAAGGTTTGAACTGCTCTGCGTCTGATTCATAACAATTTTGTACGATGTGGAAACAAGTGGAGATTTGAGCATAAATGATAAATCAGCTTCAGTGCATGAAACCAGCTGACCAGCACCTCATTTACATATCATTTACATGAAGCACACCCTAATTCATGCAGATGTTTCAGTAGCCAGCCAATAAAACGGCAGTGTTTGGCATGAAAGCTAATGGCCGTGCTCGTGGGTGGAGTCTGATGTCCAGCAGTGAGTGCACTCCTCCCCTGCTGACCAAACTTAATAGTATCAAAATGAAAACAACGGGAAAAAAATAAAATGTGAAATAAAACAAAATACTCAGTGTTGTTAACATAGTTGAGTGATTGTTTAGTGTAAATAATTCCCTAAAATAAACGCTGTATTATTGCAGTGTATGACCGAAGCTGTGTTTGTGAGTCAGTAGTATGAAACAAAAGCACAGTGTAATGTGTCTTTAAATGGAACATGAAATAGTTGCAGCACTTGTTTATATCAATGTGCATGCAAAGTAAGTACATCCACTTTTGTACTGGACTGTCATGCACACAAATTAGTATTATTGATATTTTCTATTGTTGTTCTTATTTTTGCAATTACAGATTATGTTGATAATAGTTTTGGTTAATTAGCCACATGTCCAGCATTTATGCCCAAATTTACATGCACTCCTACCAGATATGAGTACAGATATGCCAAGATGAACGTGATGAATAACAAAACCGGCCATGAATTTGTGTGCGCTCATCTTACGGTCAGATGTGACCATAAGCATCTTTAATGAACAAGAACCAAAGTGAGAAAAGTGAAGCAACTGAATATATGGAGGTGATGGAAAGTTAAGTAACAGATAATTAGCGGGATTAACACATAAGTGCTAGTAAGTTATCACGTTACTTCTTTATATGAAGAAAAATACTTATTAGTTAATTAACAATGTAAAAAGCAGCAATTAGCACACAGATAATGAGTAAGTAAGCCACAAACTAATGACAAACTAACTTATCAACTAACAGTGTACTTAATTACTAATTGATAAATGCTTAATCAATTACTAAGTAATAGCTAATGCTTAATGAAGAGTTAACTAATAACTAAATAATGGGAAACTAATAGTTGATTATTATATATTTAATGATTGATTAGCGACCCTTAATGTAAAGTGTTACCATTACTTTTGTTCATTTTTAATTACGAATTATTATTAATAATAATTATTATTATTATGTTATTAGAGCAATATATTTTAAAAACATTTTTTCAGTTTTTGACATAATTTAAAAATGCCTGTTATTGTGTGTAAATTTCATGATGACTGGACCAAAGAATTACCCAAAGTGACACAAAAAGTCTGGTTCCATTTACTTACATTAAAAGTACTGTTTTTGTGATCTCTGGATACATAGTACTAAAAGAAAGCTTGGTCAAATAGATACTATATCATATTGAGGTTTTGTTTAGAGAAAATGTTCATAGTAGGCTCTGTTTACCATGGTCTGTCCATGAACTGTGTAATGATGACAGTCCGAAAGTTACCATAATCTATAGATGCTAGGATGTAGCTATAGCCTCCTCCTTCGTTCACTGAACGTAAACTCTCAAAATAGTACAGAGTGTGTATAAAATAATATACTGAATGAAAGAGAAGTGAAGTTGATCCAAGACATTTGAGAGTTTGGACCTACACATAAATAATAAGTTCAAATTCTAGTAGAAGTTAGAGACAAAAACATGTTTTTAACCAGGAAAAGATATTTCAGATGAACTGTTCTGATATTGTATATAGACGAGTTGACAAAATACACAGACAAAATCCACTGTATAAAGATGTAACAATTGTAAACAACAATGCATGCACTAACCCTAAATGTGGAAAGAGCAGATTCAGATACTTTACTATACATTATTTTTGTTACTTCTGGATATGCTGGATCCCTGTACTCTGAATTGTTAATGTTTCTAAACTTTCTGAACATGATCTACTGTAATTTAGAGATAGATTGTGTTACTAATAATTTCAGCAACCTTGCTCTACTACACACCACTATATTTATGGATAAAATGTCTTATTTAAACCTATAGATAAAATATGACTTATTGTACATGTGATTTGGAAAAGTCCTACCTCTTATTTGGAGGTCAGTCATTGCTATTTTCTGATCTGCAGACGATTTCCAGCCAACAGTATTATGGATGCAGTGATTGAGAATGCTTGTTTTGATTCAGGAAGTGTGTGTGCGTGGGAGAGAACTGATGGGTGACTAAAGACGATGACAAAGACAATGACAAATGTATGAGCATTTGCTTTCTTATTTTCCCCTTTTCTTTAAAGAGAGAACCAACATGTCACAAAATTAAAGTCAAAATTTAATCAATGAACACTGGACTGTCTATAAAATAAGCAGTGAGGCTAAACCACTTACAGAAGTTTGCATTACGGTTGGATTTTAAAAAACAAAAATAATAATTTATTTGTTTGAGTTTTTTAGTTTGTTTATCCCACTTTTTAGGTACAAACTGTTGAAACTTGTGCTTGAAACCTAAGTGAGCTTGTCTCGGGTGAAAAACAGGAAGTTCTTGACCAGAATGCAGGGCAACAGGATGTTGCAAAATGGCACATGCAAAATGTTGCAGAACTGCCCCCATTCAGAGATGTGAATTGCAAACTTCAAAGATACATCATAAACCTGTTACAGTGAGAAAAATACAACACTCAGTATTCTAATACAGTGCATCTCAGATATAACTAATTTGCCTTTGATGAAAAGGGCAAAACATACCGGTTTCTAAACCACTCCGCTCAACTGAGGACGTTCAGACATTAGATTTAGTGCAGACTGCATGACGCCCATTATAGATGTTTCCTTCCATATGCAACCCATCCAGATGTTTAATACTATTCTAGTTCACTTATTTATTACAAAAAGCAGATCAGATGTGGTTCACTATGTTGACATTGTCCATAACATGACTATTTGATTTTACATCAGTAAGATAACCTTTGAAGTAGTTATTATCTAACTTCTATAACCAGTCCTGGATCATCAAGTTATCAGCTCCTGGGCACAGATATTTTGTGGGCCCCTTCCTTGCTACTCTTTTTTGGGTAGTTAGTGAATTTGTACGATATCAAAGTAGATTACACAAGGCCTATTCAGCACCACGACGGCAGCATACTAACCACGTTATTGGGCACTACTATAAACACATTTTTGTCCAACTGAGACAAAACAACAGCAATATTATTCTTTAACACATTTATTAGAGCACAGGTTAACATACCCCAACAGCCACAGCAACACTTCCCAATAAAGGATGCTTCCGATTATGACAAGAAATCTGCAGGGATTTGTTAAGGTTCATTCAGAGAAGATTGTGACATTTTCTGCTTCTCATAATTCAAGTAATTACAGACAGATAGTCAATGTTGTTGAGCTCTGGCCAGTCTAACGTTCAGAGAACACCTGCAGCTTCTTTGTTTGACAAGCTATTTTTTTTTCTCAGTAAGGGCTTCTTAACAATAACACATCCTTTCAGATCTATAGCATTGAATTGTCTTCTTACAGTGGAAAGATGGACAGAAACACTTTTTTTCATATCTGACCAAGAGTGGAGCTTGATTTAATCCTCTCAAAGACAGAAGTTCTTGGTGATCTACCAGGTCTTGTACAGTTCCTAGAGTCCCATTATGTCTGTAGCTTTTAATCATTTCTTGGACTCCAGTTTTAGAAACTCCTGTTGTTTCACTGGTTTTGCTTTGACTTTATCCTTAATCATGCAAATGGATTGTTTTATTTCTAATCTCCATGCACCTCTTGTGGGTAACTTCTACTTCTTCTAAACTACTTAGCTAATTCTAGCTAACACAAGTGCACTGTTTCAAACATGCAGATAGACAGAAGCATTACAAGACTTAACTACACTGCTGTGACATTTACAGGTTAAATTTAAAGTAGATGGTTGGAAATAGGTTACAAAAGGTTACATGAGCACACAACCCAAATACCCACACAGCCATATACACACTTAGCAACTTCACAACCTTCTCATGGCTGCAGTTGTCTTCTGGCCTGCAGCAATACAGTAGAGACATTTAAACAACAACATGAGACAGAAATATGTAGACTATGAAAAAAATCACCACATGAAGTTGCATCAAACCAACAAATTAAGTTGAAAAAGCAATTTGTCTACATAGAAATGTGAGAAATTCTCATGTCTGCCTCTGTGACAGTAAAAATATTCATATTATTATGACAAAATATTGAGATAACACTATTACACTTCAGAAATTAATGCAATCTGTGATATATAACAATTTTAAGATGCCTAAACAAGAGTGTTTCTCAGTTAACATCTTCAAATGGGAAAACCCCTCTAAAAGTCCTCTAAGCTTTACTGGATCCAGCCTCCAGTTCATCCACTAAGAAAGGCTGTGTCTTTTGAAGGACTTTATAGAATTCTGCTTTCACTGCTGTTCCTCCTGAGTCAAGAATTCTGAACAAGATCCTCATTTGCTCCTGAGACGTTTTTGCAGTTTGTATGTTGCTGTACATTTCAGCAGTGATCATGTTTTTACATTTTAAACAGTCCACTATCTCCATCACTGAGGGAACTCTCTGAATGAGGTTTTGTCGGTTTTCATCCACAAATTCAGCTCCTGAAATAAAGAATAAAATCAAATTATGATTAAAGCATACCATTTCAATTTAAAGAGTTAGTATAACTGGAAAACATTACCCAAAAGAACGGATATAAGCAATGGCAATACTTTTTAACTTTGCTTAATAAACCATTAACTGACCATTAATAGCTGTGAAAAATGTATTAGTTATCCCAATTTGAAAATATACAAATGTTTCTAAAAGACATTAAATGTAATCATTATTATGTGTATTTTTATGTACAAATGATATACGTTATTTCTGTGTACATTTAAAACAAACTCAGTAATAATTTCAGGAAAAAAATAGAGTTTTATAACAACAATTCATGTACACAAATCATTACAGCAAATTACTGAACTGTACAACTTTCTAATAGTGACACACTTTAAATTTAGTCCAGTACGTACATACGATGATAAAACATCTAGATGTTTAAAAAAAGACTAAAATATCTATTCTTTAGTTAATAGACCTTTTTCTGCAGTAGCCAAAGTTGAAACTGTTCATGATTAGTTCACGCTTCTAAAATAAATGTGTTTGTCATGTGACTTTGCTAAAATGAACTTTGAGTAATGTGCTATTATAGTTTCTGAACTTATTTGTTGATGTTTCATCAGCTGACTTTGGGAGTTCATCACTTATTCAAAAAATTTGTTTCACACTGGAAAATCAGGGCTAAAATTGTGCAGGTTATCACAACTGGTTCAGAAAAGAAGAGGTGGAGCTACACTGAGTGCAGAAACTACAAAACTACACTTTGCCCTGTTTAACACGACAGACACTTGCATACCTCGTATAGATAGCTTTTTTTGTATTTATATGTAGGAGATGAGCCTTGTCTGTGCTGGACTATGTAACATGCTCTGTTAGGTCAACAAGTCATAAGACTGCAGCAATTCAGGGATTTTTTTTTATTACATTATTTAAGAACATCATACCTGCTTCCATTTTAAGCGGGCTTGTCTCTGTACTGTGACCTGAAATCATCAGACAAAACCAAAGCTTTTCAGTATTTCATATGAATACTTAAAATAACGTGACTTAAGAATAATGGACCTCATTCACCAACCATTCGTAAGAAGAAATTTCTTGTTTAACCCACTTACACAGTTTTCACAAAGATTCTGACATTCATCGATGTTTTCTTATTTGGTATTTGTTCTTAGGTACGAACAGAATCTACACACACTCAAGATCACAAAGGTGTGAACAATTTTGACTTTTTCTTAGGACCTTTCTCAAGAACAAATTTAAGAAAAAACTTGACGATTGAAGAGAAAAGTCCAGAAGTATGGACTTCAGAACCTGACGGATCTGAAAAGATTGTGTTCATGTGTTCTCCAGCAGGGGTGTTTCTAGACTACTACTGTTGTACTGGGGCACAGAAAGAATTAAGAGGGGCACACCCATACCTCATATCATACCCATAGTCATATCAGTTGCAGGGGCACAATTGTGCATCTAGTAGAAAGCCTGTTAAACCCTAAGTATATTAAGTGATTTAACACTAAAGTAGGCATCACTCTGCCATAGATAAGAAATTAAGAACAAATGAACACTAAATAATTTTTTATTAATTATATTATTTTTTCTTATGCTCCTTCCTTTTTTTTTTCTCCCTGTTGTATTCACTCTCTTTCTTTCTGTTCTGATGCTCCTTTCCCTTTTCCTCCATGTTCTATTCTGTAACATGGGATGACCCACATGGGGTGGAAGCCCTGCAACGCTGCACAAGACAGGCTTCAGGTGGGAAATGTGGAATGTGGGGTTAATACGAAGAGCCAATTTAAAGGGTCCAATGTATTGGGGCGCCTGTTTTTAAGATTTCACTCGAAGACGCAAGTCTTTGGCCAACAGCATGACTCTTTGTCCAGGGCGGAAGGATGATGCGGGTCGTCTATGGTCTGCTGCCCGCTTTTGAGGTACGGTGGCAGCCTGGAGGGCTCTACGCTCCAGTTGCCAGGCCCAACGGCAGCGGCCCATGAGACATCCCGCTGCTGGGGCTCTGATGTCCTCCTCCTGTTCTGCAAACAGCATACTCCAACTAGCACTCGAACGAGGACATACCTAGGGGCGAGTGCCATAATGTGTTGCATGCATACTTCGCCCACATCAGGTGTTCCGACCAGGAGAAACATTAGAGAAGGTCAGACACCGGAGGGCTACCCAGAACCAGCTCGCAAATTGAGATTCTTTCCTATAAAACATCCCTAGGAAACCCATGGACTTGGACTACTTGCTCTAGGACAAGCTTGGCCGTATCCCTGGCTGATGGAAGCTTTGGTAGAACAACAAACGCGCTCACAGAGAAGCGGTGAACAATTACCAGGATTACAGTGTTACACCTGGTTCCTAACAGCTTCAGGAACATATAATCAATCACAGGGGCCACCTCCCTGACCTAGCTTGTTTCTGAAGTACAGCGCTTTCCACCCCCCACTGGATGGGAGCCATTATGCTAGCCTCTGGGATTATGGCTGCTGGCTGTTTTCTAGAGGGGAAAGCTCCTACTGGCGGAAGAGAGTATCTGGCTTAGCACTCTTGGACCCAGGTCTGTACAACAGCACAATGTTGAATCGAGCAAAGAACAGTGCCCACCTGGCTTGGTGTGAATTTAGCTTTTTAGCATGCTGAATATAGCCCAGATATTTGTGATCTGTCCACACCAGGAAGGGATGTTTGGCTCTCTCCAGCCAGTGCCTCCAATTCTCTAACCAGCAACTCACAATCACTCACATTGTTTTTTCGCTCCAAGGGGAAGAGGTGGTGTGAGAAGAAGGTGCAGGGGTGTAGCTTCTGGTTAGGACCAGACCGCTGGGACAACACCACCCCTACGCCCATCTCAGTGGAGCAGCTGTAGAACCCGCTGGACATGGCCTATGTGTTTGTCTTGGTTCTTGCTGCAGATCTAGAACCTCCCTCAGAACCTCAATAATGTAATGCTGGACGCCGACGGAGCGTTCATCAGCCCAAAGGGCAGTACTAAGTAGCAATAGTGGCCCGATGGGGTGATGACGGCCATCTTCTATTCGTCCCCCTCCTTAACCCTGATTAGGTTATAGGCACAAGGCAGGTCCAGCTTGATAAGAAGAATGCCTGTTGCAGTGCTTGCAAGGGGTAGCAGTCCTTAACTGTGATCTTATTGAGTCCTCAGGAATCAATACAGGAGCAAAAACCCCCGTCTTTCTTCCCTACGAAGAAGAAACCTGCTCCCACTGGGGAGGTCAATGGCTGGATGATACCTTGTGCCAAGGATGCCTGGATGTAATCCTCCATGGCCTTACATTCTGGGGCAGACAGGTAAAACAGTTGGCCCTGAGGTGGACTGGTGCCAGGTAACAGGCTTTTGGCAAGATCGTAGGGCCGATGGAAGGGCAGGAGCTGGACCTTTTTCTTGCTACAGACCTCCTGAAGGTCCCGATATTCTGAGGGTACTCAAGATAGGTCAGGGGAGTCTGGATCTGTGAGTTTGGAATTTACACCTCAGAGCACTGGGACCAATAAACAGGAGGTCTGGCACAAGGAACACAAGAAAGGATGGACCAGTTCTGCGAGTCCAGATGGGGATTATGGCACTGGAGCCAAGGAAGGCCCAGCACTAACTGCACATCGGTGGTGCTGATCAGCTATAAAGAGACTTGAGAAAGATCACCCATCAATGACCAAGACGGGTAGGGGCTGGTCTAGAGTGATCAAAGGCAACCTCAGAGCCCTGGCTCTCTCTGCATCAATGAAATTCTCTACTGCCTAAGTCAACAAAGGCCATGGGGTGCGCCTCACTGTCTTGCCCCCATGAGATGACAGCATTGAGGAACACCCTAGTGGCCCTGGAGGGAATGGGGAAGTTTGTAATGGGCGCGGTCATTTCCTGACAACTTGAGGCATGCAGGATGCAGATGTCCTGTCTAACCAGAATAGAGGCACCAGCCAACTGCATTAGTTTGGGCATCCCTTCTGTGGGCAACTGTGGCACGGAGCCCACCTCAGAGGTAAGAGGAAGTTTACAGATGGACTGGGCTCTGCTCACTTTACGACTCCTCTGTCGTTGCTGTAATCTGTTGTCCAGTTTAAACATTAGCTCAATTAGATTCTCAAGAGTGGAGGGAGGGTCACGAGGGGCCAGCTCATCATTGAGACAGTCGTTAGTGCAGCAGAATCCCAGTCACTTTCTGCTGCTAAAGTGCAGAATTTGATGGCATAATCAGCTAATGACCTCTTTCCCTGACGTATGTGCAGGAGGCAGTCTCATCCGCAGACAGGATGGTGGAATGCCTGGCATAGAGCAGTCTTGAACAGGTCTGCAGAAGAACACACTTAACTTTGGTTGTCCCATACAGGAGTAACCCAAGCAAAGACTCAACCTGAAAAAAGTGAAATTATGTACACCACTTTAGCCCTTTCCGAGGGGAACCTGGAAGGCTGCCTTTCAAATGCAAGTGAGCACTGAAAAATGAAACCTCTTCATCCTACAGGATACCCTATGTAACATTCGGGGGGTGGCAACTGCTCTGCCTGTGGAGCAGATGCCCCTGCAGACTAAACAGCAGGAGCTGGAGTGGACTCAGGAGCTCCTTCAGGAGGAAATAACCCACTGTATGGTTGCAGTAAGGCCCTGCAGATGGGTTACTAATGCTGCAGGGCCTTTGCATGCCTTCCAATGGTGGCCCCTTGATTAACCAGGGCAACACTCACCTGATCTATATCAGGTTGTTTGGCTGGGTCCATCGTTTGGCTGTGTCTTTCTGTAATGTGGGATGGCTCACCAGGCCATCTGAGTTATATCCCATGAGTGCAGCAGCCCTGGAGCCAGCCCCCTCTTCCTATCTGTTCTGATGCTCCTTTCTCCCTTTTCTCCCTGTTGTATACTCTGTCTTCCTCCTTTCTGTTTTGATGCTCCATTCCCTTTTCCTCTGTGTTGTATTCTCTCTTTCCTTCTCCCTGTGTATTGTCTTAATTGTTTACATTTCATTTTAATATTATTGTTGTGTGAAATAATTTTGTGGCATAGAACTACAAGTGAAACTGTGAATTTGTTTTTGCATGATAATGCAAAAAATTGTAGCTACATAACACAGGGTTGCAAAATGAGTAGTTTCCTGTTATATTGGCTATATCATGATGCTTGTTTTGCAAGTTTGTGTTATCAATGCCCCTTTTACTAGCTAGCATACATAAAACCTTTGCTAACATAATTGATGCATTTGCTAATTTAATTAATGCCTTTATTTTAATGGTTTAATACACATTTTAGCAGGTTATACGGTTATAAGTGTCTAACCAAAACATATGGCTGTGAGCTAACATTACCTTGTCTGTCGTGTGACTGACTTTTAAATTTTGAAGTGTGCTCATTACTCCATGTAAAAACCTGAAAGAAACTAGCTCTGACTAAAAGCGTCAACCCCTCAAGTTTTAGAAAGATGTTGGGACATTATGGGAAATGTTGTGCCTGTAGTGAATTCGCGTGGCATGTCCTGTAGTCTTGCTCAGCAATTCAGGATATAACTGAAAGCTTTATGGCTTTCTTATTGACTTTTTATCAATCTGATTTAAGTGGAGCACAGCAACAATTTATTAATAACAAGCAAATTAGGTCTAATAACACCCCTGTTCTCCAGTCTCATTATACATTATGAAAGAAGACTCAGAGCTGTGATCTTTGCAAAGCGAAGTATTTAAAGTATTAAATGAGGAGATGCCAAAAATTGTGACAGACAGATTTGAGAAAAATATTTATTTACTAATAACATTTAGATGTTTCTTTCAAACATTATGCTTAAACAAAGTTTAGATTGTTGTTAATATTTGGAATGACATCAGAAGGATTAGAAACAAAGAGTTTTTGACAGCCCTTTTTGCTCATGTTTACCAGAAGTGCCAATATTTGTGGATGGCACTGTAAATAGAGCTGCTAGGTGGAGTGGTGGATCCAAATGATCAAGATTTTTTTTAACAACTTGAGATAATTAGCAAGCTACGGTGCATGGGGACACTTATTGCTCATTTTTAGAAAAGGATGGGTGATTCCACAGCAAAATTGTTGCTAAAAACATTTTGTCAACAATGCAAATGTTTTGAAGCCTTCAAAATAGGAGGAGACTATAGCTTTAGAAAGTACATAAAAGATCTTCTAAAAATATATATCTAAATTAAATAAAAAGATATTTTAATAAAAGAAGATAAATTACTTCTCACCTGGTTTTTCAATTGTAAGAAAGATTCGTCGTGGTTCCCACACCTCTGCGCCATCTTCATCCAAAATACTTACTGTAATATCCTCAGCTTGAAGAAAAACCACAAATGTTGGGTGATAGTTTGGGCCATAGTCACGCACAAATCTGGCAACCTAGGAAGACAAAATGGCAGCATGAAAAACATCTTTAAACATGTAAACATTAAGGAGTTTTCTAAAAAACCTTTATGACGTGGCTGTGTAGGCCGGACTTTACCTTTGGCTCAGACACATGGTGATCACAGGATGGTTTGTATTTCCTTCCTGCGATAAGTTGGCATGTGGAGCTGGTCTCAAAGTATGTGGCACCTTTATGCTTTTTTTCTACCTTTAATCGTAAAAAAAAGATGCAAAGGTTTGTACAAAAGTGTGATTTTATGAGCCAGTTATAAATCTCATTTGCACAGGGTGGGTAGGGGCGTACTTTTGCACTTAATACTGACTGGTACTAAAATATTACACTGGCACCAGCAATAGGAATCATGTGTCTGCTGGTGCTGAATCAAGAGTGACAGAGCACTAAGGCATGGTGATGCTGGCTTAGCGCCATAGACATCGTCTGCTGACCTCAACTTGTTGTAAGGCATGCAAGTCAAACAACAAACCACCAATGCTAGCAGATTTTAATTTAATAGCACAGAATCTAGCAGAAATACTAGTGTTTGATGATTATAAGTTGGATGAATTGACTGGTGCAAAGGTGGATGTTAATTGGACTCATCATCCACACAATTTTTATTCTTCTTGGTGGACAGTATGTGAGAATTGTTGAAGTAACACTGAGAACAGAGAAATATCTTTCACTGTTCTTGTGCCTAGCTAATGCTAGTTTGCTAATGCTAGCTGCCTACTAAATAGCATTGTTAACAATGTGTCTTTGGCAATGTGCTCACGATAAGACACTGGCGTTTTTAGGAGCCAAGTATAATAAACATTCACAAATGTGAGCAGAACGTACATTTTAGAGCTTTTTGGAAACATTTTTAATACATATTACATATTTTGCACATACATTTACAGGAGTTTCCCTCTCACAGTGCAAAATACTGTTAGCATTATTATAATGTTCCACCTACTCCCGTTGTTGTTGCTCAGAGTCACCTGTCCAAATAAACAGAAGCCTGTTTCTGCCAGGTGAAAAAAAGTCTGGCAGCACTATTTGCACAAGCTAAATTTGGCTTATGTTTAACCTTTCAAAATTTTTAAATATTATTACAAAATGTATCCTCTTGAAATTTTTACTTAGTATGTTGACATAATTACTTATTTTCTCAATATAGTAACTGTTCTCAAAATAATAGCTTATTAGCTCAAAAGACATAGAAGTCAAGATATGTGCAGGTGCGTGAAAGTTCTTAGTAGACCTGCTACACTGGCAACCCCCACCAGCGCAGTCATTAATTAGAGCTGCTTTCAATAAATCTACCTCTAGGATTTCGAAAGAAGGCTCCAGGGTAATGAAGACAATATGAGAAGGCAAAAACGCTGTTTACCTCTTCAACTGGCACATTTCCTGGCAGTAAGTGAATGTGTAGTTTTTTCCTGATTTCCTTGCACATCATTTCTTTATAGAAGAGCAGGACTTGTGCACTTATGGGACCGGGATGTAATATTTTTTTAAGAAGGCCAAAGAGGGAAAGGCCTTGGATGGAGATAATCACATGAGTGTTTGTCACTTTCAGCGGCGGTATGACCTCTACATTTTCTCCAGTGAAATGTGCCACCTCCAGTTCAGCCTGGTTTCCTTCTGTATAACAAAAAAACAAACAAACAAAAAAACATTGTAGTGTATTGAAGACAATGAAGAATTAGACTGCTTTGATGTGGTGAGCAAACAGTCTGTGTACTTCTTTGGAACAGTTTTTGAACTGTTTTTTGGCTGCTGTGAGGATAGACAATAGTTCTACAGAGTCATCAAGTAAAAGATAAACTCATGGATCTTCATACACAGGCTTTCCCAAAATCATGAGGGAGTATTCAACTTAAGACGAAAATAAATCCACTATGGGAAAAGCCTAAAATGTATGCATGTACCAAATATTGTTTGTTAGATAAATGACATGATGACAATGATCTATAATATGGAGTACATGCCTCTCAGAGACAAATCTTTTATTATGACATCCAGTAACTGATTGTAATTGGCCCATCTTTGTGAAACTTCTCACAGTAAGACTGCTGATCTAGGATTTGTTCCTGTGAGTAAAGTCATAGTAAATAAGATCTTATCATCTCATCTCACCTGATCTTTAATCAGGACTCCTATTCTGAGAAGCTTCATGAATATGGGCCCAACACAGTCGGTAGATATCAGGCTGTAGCTGAAGCTTTGTTAGTTTTCATGGAGATTAATGTCACTTTCAGCTCTCTGATTGACAAGGGAGTATTCCAAAAATCATGTTCATCATTTCTTGCTTTTTCTACTAAAAATTTATGTATATATATATATATATATATATATATATATATATATATATATATATATATCATTCATAACATTTGATATGTAGTCTTTGTTCTATTTTCAATGAAATATAGGGTTGAAATGATTTGCACATCGTTGCATTTTTTTTTTCTTTACATTTTGCACAGCAACCCAACTTTTTTGGAAATGGGGTTGTATGTTACTCTGCTGTTTCTACAGTATATTTCTGTTGGATAGACAAAAAGTTAGTTGGTTTAAAGATGCAGTATATGATTCTGGAGAACGACTGTTGATATTTGAACTCAAAAGCAAAACAAATGCATCCCACCTTTCATTGCTCCTTCAGAAACTGAGGCCCCAAATTCATGGACATGTATTACCAAGATGAACAACACTAGGCTAGCAAACTTGTTTTTTTAGGTGTTTGTGCCCATAAAACCCTTCGCAAATTGTAAGGACAAATACCACGATATAAAGTTAGAGTCAACAATGACACAGCGAGTAATGTTACTAACATTAGCTAGGTTGTGGGTTGGCAAATTTTTGCAAAAATTGCTCCTGTGAAGCAAAACAGTTACTGTCACAAACAAAACAATACTGATATACTGGCTGTGTGAAACAGCAAAAAATCTGTTCTTCTTTACACTGTGTGGAGTTCAGCACGTAGCCCCTGCCCTTCCCCCTATCCTGAGCACAGTCACAAATGCCCCCCGTAGCTGATGGGCAGTGTTATGTTTCTTGTCCTGAGACACTTCGTATATTTTCCGTTTACAGATCCAGGGCTGTGTACGAACACCAGACTTTTTCCAGTACACAGAACAGAGAGCTAGCAGACCGTGAGGAGATATGAACTGAATTTGACAGAAGTGTTTTGGATTGAAATCTTATACTGCACCTTTAATAATTATATTTAGTGTAATAACTAATTATGTTTAAATGTCTGCAAAAATCAGCATTACTAAACACTAAACTCACCATATTGTATCTCACAGTGTGGGAGATGTAGATGACTGATCAAACCATCAATGCAGTCAATGTTGTACAGAGGTCCTGCAGGCTCCATCTGACCTAAACCATCCAACAGACGGGTATCCCAGAAGTCTATTCTGTAGAACACCTCCCCTTCACCTTCCATCTCAAACACAAGGTTGGTCAGTCTGCACTGAAACTGGCCGGTATGAGGACACTGAAATCTTCAGAGGAAATATCAGACAAATCATGTAAAAAAATCTCTCAACCTGACTGTACTGTTCTTATTCCACAAAACAAACACTGTACCTGTACAAGTTAATATTCTTAACTTCTGAATTGTTGTCGACCATTTCAGGAATGAATCTTTCAGTAACCGTAGACAACTGTGGAAGTGCAGAATAAATATTTTTAGATATGCAGAGTAGTTTAAGTTTCACAACCTCTCAGTACATTCTGATCACGTGTTACATGCAAGATCTCACAAATGTGTGCATGTGTATGTGAGGTAAAAGGTCCAAAACTATTGTAAATATCGCCTTTTGTTGAACAGCTTGTTAGCTGACTGCTAACAGGCTAAGGGGAGGTAGCTTTCCAGATTAAATATCGTAGCATTTACCACAACAGAAGAAGACACGGCCATGCTGCACACAAACAGAGCTTTCACAACAGTTTGCTCTCTAAACCAAACTTACATCTCCTTTCTCAGTGACTGGAATGACTGGAATATGCCATGTTTCATTTGGACCAAATGGGTTGCAGACTTTTGAATTCAGAACAGGCATCCTTGACCCTTAACTTGGCAAAATGCAAGTTCGCTCAATCTTCTTTAATCTTGGTAAGAGAGTTGGTCAAGGACAGGCACATCCCAAATCTCAGCCAGTCTAAATTTTCCTGTCCTTTCTACCCAGTGCGAATTATGGCACTTTTTAGTCATAGCTGGTTAATATTAGAGCTTCTGTAAAAACTTTTCTACTGTAGTTACACAACTCACTTCATTTCTTAGTCCGTCAAAGTAATTTGACTGGCGTTCAGACGGTCAGCGTGCTTTTGATAATGTTAAGGCTCTTCTTTGCATTATTCCTGTTCTAGTAGAATGTGATTTCTCTAAACCCTTTAAACTAGGGGTGGACGCAAGTGTGGTGGGAGCTGGTGCTGTTCTACTTCGGGAAGATGATCCTAGCATAGATCACTCAGCTTAGCTATTTTACGATTTAGAAGGAAACGTTGGCCTTGTTGTCTTTACAACATTTTTAACTTACAATATTGTGATATTATAAGCTGTGATAAAAATGTATTAATATAATAATTACCAAACCTTGCCTAGTTGCAACTGACCCCTTTGGACTATGGAATTGGTACCAATGCACTCACATGTTCATTATAAGGGTGTGGTGCAGATGCTGAGCTACAGTCTTCTACCAGCAAACCAGAAGAATTCACACTGTCTCTAGAAAGGGTCTTCTCTGTATAAAAGGAAACATAAACAAGAATAAATAGATTTTAGTATATGACATACTAATGTAAGAGTAGAATAAGGTTAGATGTAAATGATTGTGTTGTGATTTGCAGTAAAATGTGTAAGCACGTTATCTCAGATTGAAAGGAGAATCTATGGAAGCTTTCTCTCAGTTAGCTCAGCTAAACCTAACTGCTGATTAAGTCTTTTCTGATGCGGAATGAAACCTGCTCTTCTCCACTGCAGCACTACTCGATCCAAGGTAAATGATGTAACACAGCTAGCTAATGCACATCGTTTAAAATCAGCTAGATTTTAATGATTTAATGATCTGATTATAGTAGGCAGACTTGGCTCAGATTACTTTGAAATGTCCTCAGTTACCAAATTAGCTACCAAAGCTACCAAATACACAATCAGTTGAATCAACACAATCAGCAATTTAAGCTATTTAAACAATGCTTATAGAATACATTTGAATTACATAGGAATATTATTCAGAATGCAGTACAGAAGAATATTCTACTAATATAATACGGCATGATAAAAACCTGTGACTGCAGTTGGTGACCACAGTTTAAAAGGGAAAAAAAGTACTTGATGGGTACTCCTATGACCTAGGATCATAAAAAGGTCCTAAGGCCTTGTGATGCAAAGTAGCTTTGCACCACCATATTTTACAATGGCCATTCTGTCCTGAACAACGTTTTTACACTAAACCCACTCCTGAAATCTGTTGTGAAACTGCTCTAATCAAAGGTACTTTAATACAGTTTGTGACTTTGCTAAAAATCTGTACCATTTCTGACCAATGGTGAAAGGGACAACTATAGATTACAGAGACTGAAAGAGAATTTTAAGAATTCTGTCTTGTGATGACTCACCTGAGCAGTAATCTGCTTCACTTTCAGACACTTTTCCCACTGTTGAGCCTCCTGTGTTTGTTGATCTAAAATGATATTCAAATTAAATTTTATTGGTACTAGTATACCAGTTTTCACAACAGACATTGTCAAACAGCAGTTTTACAGAAATCTGGGCCCAAACCAATCAGGCAACAGTAGGGGGAAATTTTGTTTTGAGCTTATGGAAAGAACCCAGAAAGAAGCCAACAGTCAAAAGGGAAGTCATCCTCCTCCAGTTACTGTAATTATGATAAACAGTTTATAGTGCTGCTTCAACATTTGTGAACCATTTAAAATTATGTTTCTACATAAATTTGACCTAAAATGTGATCAGATCTTCATTCAAATCATAAAAATAGATAAAGAAAAAACAATAGAACAAATAACACAATTATAGAATTTTTCATTCATTTAACATTTAGTGTTGATTCATTTATTTAAGCAGCAAAGACTTCAACCAAATGTTTCCTGTAACTGTTGATCAGCCCAAGATTCCTCCTTTACAGAACTGATTTGAATGTTGGTGGGCTTTCTTGCATGAATGCCACATCTTACATCCTGCCAAAAGATTTAAAATAGAGCTTTTTCCATGCTATAATTCCATACATACTATTCTTGCTCAGTTTTTGCCTGATTGTGGACTCTTCCTACCTATTGCACAGTGGCACTGGCAGTTGGCAGAAAGTTAGTTCACTTTGTTCAATTAATCAATAAAAAACTGCAATTGCTGATTTTATTTGTTTTATTGGGTTCATGTTATCTGTTGTTATGACTTGAACAAAGGTCTGGTCTTATTTTAAGTCAAACCTATGCAGAAACTCACTTAATGCTACAGGATTTACAAACGTTCAAGCAGCACTGTACATTAAAAGTGTATGTAACACAGAATAACACCTTACAGAAAGATGTTTGGAGTTCATGCAGCTTCATGGCAGTCATGAAAGAAGTTCAAGTGCATATATTATTGTACATATTTGGGTCCCTTTCTTTACACCACCACACGTGCAGTCTAACAGTATAAAGCTGGCATGTTATTAATTTGGTTGGATGCAAGCCTTTTTTCCCCACCAACACATTCAGGAAAGAATCAACAAATCTATCTGTGAACTGATCTGCAAACTGCATATTTTGTTACAAATAGAAAAGAATTAGTTGAATAAAAAAAAATGTTGAATAATAATCAGGGGTGTGAATCCCACGCGCCTCGCGATTTGATTTGATTACGATTCAGAGGCTACAATGCGATTATAAAACGATTATCTTTTTTTTTTCTATACATGATTTTTTTCTCACTGTGTGAGGACTTGGTAATGTTAAAGCAAAGTGTTTGTAATGATCCATAATGAATTTACTTCCAATATATTTTATTAATAAATCAAATGGAAGTGATGTGGCAAGTGAACTGGAAGGCTCTCATTCACTGCTTTTGTTGGGAGCTGCTACTCATCTGCAATATCGCTGTTCTGTTTAAATAAGATAATGGTAATGGATGTCCACGCAGCAGATTACAGCTACTCTACCAGTTTTCTTTAGTGATTTCATAACTTTGGATGTGGTCTCGTAGTAGAGAGGGGGGTGGGGGTTGCTGTGTCAGTAAAATATCTTCGAGACGGGACGCTGAATCTCGGCTCCAAAGTATGCAACATAGCGCGAAAGCCCTGGTTCTCAACAACTGAGTACAGAGGCAAATTCTTGACAATAAAAGTTGCCATAGAATTTGTAATTCCCCTTCGAGTTGGGTGGAAGCTTTGACATTGCTTGCTCGATAGTGCTCTGGTTGGCAGCAAGTACAACCAGATGGAAAACGGGTGGAAACATGTAATATGCTTTCTCATGTTTGTCATTTCCAAAATATTTTAGTTTAGTGTGACACAACTTCCATATAGTGTGGCTCTTGTCCAGGTCCTTTTTCCCCTTCAACTTCATAGAAGCCAATTGCTTCCATACGCTAGCTCAGGGGTTGGCAACATACGCCTCTTCTACTGTCCTGATAAAAATAAAATAATCCTCCTTTGCAGTAAAATAAAGCTCTGCTGATCGTTCTAACGCTGTTTTAACAATAAATGGTCTTAAACGCTGCTAATTCACCACCCTATAACCCTGCAGGCTGGCGTGCAGACTGCAAGTCACATAGAAACGCACAGTCTCGCCTCGCTAATAGTGAACGAAGAAGCAAAGAGAGAGATTTAAGATGAACATTCAGAGACGAATGGACTTATTCGCATTTATAGGCAGCGCAGTTGGTTTCCTGGTATGTTAAATCTGCAACAAGAGACTGTCACACACTAAAAAGTCGCAAAGCTTCTCTTTCGAATTCTCCCGTTCCTTCTTAAATGTGCCGCATTTACATTCTGGCGCCTCAGACAGAATTTAAGGCGGAACGGGAAAATTCTAACAAGAAGCTGGCGAATGAGAAGCAACTTCAGCCTCGTAAAACAGTCGAATGTTGATAGCTAAAGCTTAAAGCAGAGCGAAGTAAATCCGTGTTTTCATTTATAATTTTTATCCTATGCTAGGACATCAGCACATACTGAGACATACTGGACAGTAAATGTTGCAGCTCTGAAGGTGGTTTGATTTTTGTTGAAAGGACAAAATGGCTCTTCTTATCATTTGTGTTGTGACTCCTGATCTAACCTGGCTTTTAATGCAGAGGGTGCAGGTCGGATTTCTCGCTCATCCATTTGTGTTTTTGTTATGTGCCGCCACAGACTGTCCGGGCGCTGCACTTACCCACTTCCAGGTTCCGCCTTTTGCGTTCCGTCAACATTACGTTATAAAATAAATATTTAGAAAATCAATTTTCAACATTTGTGAATCAATTCAGAATTGCCCACGTCTGCATCGCGATGCATCTAAGACTCGATTTTTCCCCGCACCCCTAATATTAATAATATTAATAAAGGTTTAGATGATGTGTGTATGAATGTATGTAAATGCGAACGCTGAATAAAATGCACTGTACCCAAAGTTTTGGATGGCTGTTTTGAAAAGTGGCACTATTAGTGCTTTGTGTCTGTGTTTTTAAGTATAGTATTAAGATATTTTTGCCATATTTCCCACTCTTAATTCATATATTCAAATAACTATGATCATCCCTATGAAGCAACTGATCAGATAAACTAGACTACATTAACAAAACTTCATCTTCAGTTTTGGGAATGTTTGGGAATGTTTACGTTATGTCTACAGACAACTGTTCATTTACAGCATGGGGGAAAAGTATCAATATAAGTGCCTTTGCATTGCTATGTTGGTAGTCCCCCTCCCTGCTGTAAAATGATGTTGTGGATACAAAGTAAACATTTCCAAAACTAGAGGGTGAGTACTTATGTTGTAGCTTTTGCATTGCTATGTATAGAGTGATGTTATTATCTACTGGAATATCAATTATGTTTAACTAAAACAGTCAGGCCTTTTATTAATGATTGAATTCTATTTATTAATTTGGAATAAATTTAAATAAATAAATAGCCAAGAAAGAAATACTGAATGCTTTAAACTACATGATTTGTAGTTAAATTACATCATTATGGCAATAGATAAATTGTAAAGGAGCTTTAGTCTTTAGGATAACTCCACCTAAAATATAAATTGAACATTATGTTTTCACATTGCTGGCACCCATACAAGAGGCAGGGCTCCCCATCTCAGAAAATGGCATAGAAAACTGACAACATAAGCCAAACGCACAGGAAATATTGATAACATCCTACCTTATCTGGCCAGTTTGATAGGCTATCTCTGTTGGGGCTAAACAGAGTTTTTACTCAGCTTGTCACAGACTTAGCAAACAAATAGTCCAGTGATGCTTTTCCAAGAGAAAAACACCATTGGACAACTTGTTAAATCTATGTTATTCTGTAGTCCCTTTTTTAAATATGTAAAAGCCCACATAAATCACAATAGATTTGGAAATACAACTTTCCCAGCCTGCAGAGGTTCCATGAGAACAGGTGGTCTGAGAATTATTACTAATATTATTTTGTATGCTAAGAAAAATTACAAGGTAGTAGTTACTAATGAATCCCAACTTTCGTGAGAACATTTTTTGTACAAAAGCCCTGTCAGTACACACTGTAAGTGAATAAGATCCAGTGTCTACCATAGAAAAGTACAGACAAATGTCTTACTGGTGTGTGAACCTCTCCTTGTAACCTTCAAAGCCCTTCCTGGTCTTGCTCCTACATTCTGTAGTGAACTCCTTCATCCGTACTGTCCCTCTCGTTCCTTCATATCTTCTGGCACTGGACTTCTTGCTGTCCCATGCAGTGGGTGACACGTCTTTCAGTGCTACTGCTCCCTAACTTTGGAACTCTCTACCTAAATCTCTCTGTGACTGCTCTACCCTTTTCTTTTAAAGTTCAACTTAAAACCTCTCTTTACTGCTCACTACTCTTCTATTTCAAAGTGTTAGGTCTTCTTTCCCCCCCTTTGTAAAGCGTCCTTGGGTTTGTGAAAGGCGCTATACAAACTGAACTTTTTATTTTATTATTATTATTACTGACTATTGCATTGATTCCATGTATGTAATCCTTCCTTTTATGAAGATTATACGATTAATTCATTTAACTATAATATTCATATAACACTCACCTTTTTGTCCACCTGAAGAGAGGTAGCAATGAAGATATCTTTCTAGGCATTCTGTATTTTGGACGTTGCATATGTTTAGGATCATGCATCAGAGATTCATAGCTGCTGGCACGAGATGATCCATAAACAGAACTACTGTCAGATCCTGATATTGAAAAGTAACCAGAACTTGCCAGAGACCATGTATCTGATGTCTTATCTTCAGCCACTGGGAGTGATAGGAAAAAGAAATTGAAATGCAATTCATGATTTGACAAGTAGTGTGGTGTAGTCATCAATCTTTAATACTTTTATTATTATTAAATTTAACCTGACGTTAAAACCAAAGAGCAGCAATTAGTTTTGGGATTTTTCCACCAATTAATTATGTACAGTTCCACCTGGTAGCTGGGTCTCCCCACACAATCACATAATGTTACCAAGTTGGCAAGGTGAGTCATGTGAAGCTCCTGTCTTTTCAAACTACCACTAACGCAATGTCATTGGACAGCTCAACACTTTGAGGAGAACACTAACTGGTAATTCTGGTTGGTGCACCATGGTCCCCTTTCTGCATCCAACTTAAAGAAACTGTGAAACAAATCTAGCACAGCCTGTAAAGGTAATGTGATTTTGCAACTGTCTATAATCATTTACAATTTATCGTCTCTGCCTGCCATTTAGATATGCCATCTTAATTTTACTTGCCGTATATCACTTAGATTAGTCTTTAGGGTTTAGGCCAATAGGGAAAACACAGAGGAGCACATAGAGGACTTCCAGAATGCCATGTGCCTCTCTGCAGCCTATGTTTAGTTAATTTTAATCTGTTAGAAAATATAATTTTAAAGTTATGTTTGCCTTTTATGGATCTGCCCATCATTTCCCCTGTAAGTATAGTTCTATCTCTGCTGTTCCAATAAAGAGCATTTTTCTGAAGAGAAAATGCCAGACCGAGGTTCCTCTTCTGTGTCTACTTCTGCTACACTGGTGTCAGAATGGGATATGGCCCTTGAGCTGGAAGAAATCAAGCAAGAGAGACAGCATTCTTCTCATTACCAAGCTACAATCGTCGAGTCTGGCTGGGAGCCGTACTCCACACAACTGCAAATAGTCGCGCAGCATCAAGGGTGGACACAACTGTGTGCAGCCCTGGAGGGGAAAGCACTACAAGTGCAGCACCAGCGCTGATTGGTGGATCTCTGAGGGCTGTGGCAAGTGTACACAAGCAGCACCCTTGCTAGAGTTCTGCTGAACTCAGGAGGAGAACACATAGCTATCTAGGGCACACGGATGGCTCAAGATAGGAAAAAAACTGGGCTGGTCAAACGTGATGGCACCCGAGCAACACCACTAAGGTGCTTCAAGCTGGCTGTGAGAGCCTCCAGATGCATGACAAGATGCTGTATTGAGTGTGGGAGGATTGAGCCTGAGGGTGCAGTGCATGCAGTGGCTGGCGTTTGGCACTTCTGTGTGGGCAGGACGCTGTAACAGCTGCAGCAGAGGTTCTACTGGCCAGGCTGCCACACGGATGTGGAGCAGTATATGCATTGCTGTGACCAGTGCATGGCAAAGAAAGGACCGCCATAGTAGTCTCATGCCCCATTCAGTCTCTCTGCTGCAGCACAGTGATAGAGAAGACACTTATGGAGCTGGTGTTCGGCTGACTGCAAGGGGCAGTGGAGAACAGAGCACCTGTAGTGGAGTGTGCCGAGGACAAAGCACCGAGAGAAGACTGGGGGCACCCACTGCTGAGGAGCAGGCACCCCATGGCACTTGTGCTGGCCGGACTGGTGGACAGGCCAAAACTCTGAGCACTCCAAGGACTATGTTCAGGCTGTGTCGACCACCAGAATGGCCAACTCTTAAGAGGGGAGAGTCTACTTATTTGTTTATATATTTACTGGATTGCATGAAAATTCATCAAAACATCCACAGAAACACTCATTTGAAACAGTTAGTTCAACATCATGAATAGCTAGATAGGTCATTTGCATACTGCAGTCTTTCGCAATATTAGTATAGCAAAGACCAATACTGTGATGATGCTCACTGAATAAAATACTGTGCAGACTTATTACAAATTTATTCAGTTATTAAGGCTTATTTTTCAGTAACAACTAACAAACTATTATGAAATGTGGTTATGAAAATGAAGAATTAAATCGTATCCCCACACATGGGACTTTATAGCTGAAGAGGTTAAGGAATAGTAAATTTATTCTAATTCTGGTAATAACAACACTCACCCATCCATGATCCGATATGCTCTTTCTGTCCCTGTGCTTTCATCATCCTCTCTTCAGCTCTCTCTTCATCTGCTCTCCTCTTCTGTTTCACCTCCTGTATGATGTTTCTGTCCATTTCAGAATGGCGTCCACTGTTTGCTGCCACCATCTCCTCTATCTTCTCCAGCAGCTCTGTGACCTGAGTGTCATCACTCCTGTTCTCATTGTTGAGAACATGATACCTGTTCCCACATTTCTCAACCAGCCACTGGAGCCCTTTCCCTTCACTCTCAATGTGCTGCTCTATGGGTGTGTCTCCCAGACAGTCTCCACAGGTGAACAGCACTATAGTGTGACTCCACACTTTCTTCGTAAGAAGCTCCAAATATCCAATTATTATTTTTTTATTGTAGTTTTTAAAATCACAGTCACCACGTATGACCAGCAGTACAGCTTGAGGTCCTGGAGGACACAGAGACACACTGAGCACAATCTCCTGTTTCAGTAACTCAGTGCTCTCCTCTACAGGTTCATTAATCCACCATCCTGGAGCTTCAACCACAGTGATGTGTCTCCCTGCTACTTCTCTCTGTCTCTTCACACACTGAGCAGCACTCTTTAACTCAAACTCCTCTCTGTTCAGGATGGTGTTTCCTGCTGAACTCTTCCCAGCATTTCTGTCCCCCAGCAGCACAATCCTCAGCTCTGAGAGACGGTGTGAGTCATCTGTAAGAGTCATATATGTTTAAAAAGTTGTTGTTTAAAAAAATAGCACTGTTCTCACACCTAGTATTGTGTTAAGTATGGATGGCAGTTAAAGATACTATCACAGCAAACATACTGTATTTAATAACTAAACAAAAATAAATAAATAAATATAAATAAACAATTATTGATCCTTGTGTTCCTATTTAAATATATACTCATTTGTTTTTGCAGCCTTTTTTAGAAAAGGCGTTGAGGTAATGCTGACTGTTTCTCAGTCTTTCAGTGCACAAAACAATGTGCTTGCAGTTCTGATGTAAGCAGCTGTTAGTACTTCATTCGTTTTATTTTACGTGTTTTTATTTTAAAATTACAAAAGTTGCTTTTGTAATTTTGCATTTTGCTATTTGCTCAAAGGAGAGATTAGTTAGATTTGTGTACACATCCAAAAAAATTTCTGTACTTGCCTCACATCAAGTCAGAGGAGCATTATTTTAATAATAATGCCCTAACTTCTCACAATAATTCCTGAATTTAACTTCTTACATTGTCATTATAATATCCAACAACTTTATCAAACGTTGCATTTTATGTGAATATTGTACAGCCCTAATTAGAAAAACAATGATCCAGCATTCTGGTGAAATGGCAAATTTTAACCTTGATCAAAATGGTGGTTCTTTAAAAAAAGGCTATTTTCTGCTGTAATTTCACATTTTCCCCCCACCATTTCCTCATTGCTGTACCCATTTTTACATTAAACATAGCACAAAGTTAAATAATTTTTTTTAGTATTTCAATATCATAACATTTATTCAACCAAGAATTATACAATACATTGATAATATTCACATTATTGGTCAAATCAGTTTTCATTTTGACAAATTTTCTCATTACAGTAAAGTGTGACCTGTTTCTAAGCTAAACTGACAAACTCTCTAAAGCCACAAAATGCAGTTGTAAATAAATGCTTTTATTTGTCATAATTGTTAAAGCAACTGTTTGATGAAAAATTCAACCACTATAATTTCTCTATATGTACTTGATCAGCAAAGATGTGTTTGGTGGATGGAGTTTGCTTATTTAGTTTTGGTGCTATTTAGTTTTTGTGCTACAGTGTTACAGTGGATTCACTTGTGTAAACATTATAGGTCTATTTAAATCATGACACACTTGCTTTAAACCATGAGGTGTTAAGAAATCTCATAGATTTTATTAGGTGGTTCTGACACTGTATGACATCCTGTTATCTATAAACATGGACAAAAGTATGTTGCATGGCTAAAACAGCAGTAGCGGTCATCTTGAAGCTTTAATTTTGTTGTACAGTATAAGAAACTACAAAGGAAAATGTGTTTGTGATTAACAACTTGATTGTGTGACTCATTAGCCGCTTAATTAAACTTCAGTAAACAAACATCTCTGCTAACTGACCATTTAAATAATTAGCTGAGATTGATAAATATCTGCATGTTGTTTAAGGCAAGTGTGTGATGATTTGGATCATTACATTTGCACCCCATGGCTCTTGTGCTGGCTGGACTGGTGGACAGGCCAAAACTCCGAGCACTCCCTTAGGAGGGGGAGACTGTGTGGCGTCTACTTATTTGTTTATATGTTTACTGGATTGCGTGAAAATTAATCAGAACATCCACAGAAACACTCATTTAAAACAATTAATTCAACATCATGGATAGCTAGATAGATCATTTGCATATTGCAGTCTTTAGCAATATTAGTATTGCAAAGACCAATACTGTGATGATGCTCACTGAATAAAATACTGTGCAGACTTATTTATTACAAATTTATTTAGTTATTAAGACTTATTTTTCAGTAACAACTAACAAACTATTATGAAATGTGGTTATGAAAATGAAGAATTAAATCGTATCCCCACACATGGGACTTTATAGCTGAAGAGGTTAAGGAATAGTAAATTTATTCTAATTCTGGTAATAAAAACACTCACCCATGCATGATCTGATGTGCTCTCTCTGTTTCTGCACCTTCATCATCCTCTCTTTAGCTCTCTCTTCCTCTGCTCTCCTCTTCTCTTCCACCTCCTGGAGAATCTTTCTGTCCATTTCAAAATGGCGTCCACTGTTTGCTGCCACCATCTCCTCTATCTTCTCCAGCAGCTCTGTGACCTGAGTGTCATCACTCCTGTTCTCATTGTTGAGAACATGATACCTGTTCCCACATTTCTCAACCAGCCACTGGAGCTCCTTCCCTCCACTCTCAATGTGCTGCTCTATGGGTGTGTCTCCCAGACAGTCTCCACAGGTGAACAGCACTATAGTGTGTCTCCACACTTTCTTAGTAAGAAGCTCCAAATATCCAATTATTATTTTTTTATTGTATTTTTTAAAAACACAGTCACCACGTATGATCAGCAGCAGACAGTGAGGTCCTGGAGGACACAGAGACACACTGAGCACAATCTCCTGTTTCAGTAACTCAGTGCTCTCCTCTACAGGTTCATTAATCCACCATCCTGGAGCTTCAACCACAGTGATGTGTCTCCCTGCTACTTCTCTCTGTCTCTTCACACACTGAGCAGTTCTCTTTAACTCCTCTCTGTTCAGGATGGTGTTTCCTGCTGAACTCTTCCCAGCATATCTGTCCCCCAGCAGCACAATCCTCAGCTCTGAGAGACGGTGAGAGTCACCTGCAAGAGTCATATATGTTTAAAAAGTTGTTGTTTAAAAAAATAGCACTGTTCTCACACCTAGTATTGTGTTTTAAGTATGGATGGCAGTTAAAGATACTATCACAGCAAACATACTGTATTTAATAACTAAACAAAAATAAATAAATATATATAAATAAATAATTATTGATCCTTGTGTTTCTATTTAAATATATGCTCATTTGTTTTTGCAGCCTTTATAGAAAAGGCGTTGAGGTAATGCTGACTGTTTCTCGGTCTTTCAGTGCACAAAACAATGTGCTTGCAGTTCTGATGTAAGCAGCTGTTAGTACTTCATTCGTTTTATTTTACGTGTTTTTATTTTACAATTACAAAAGTTGCTTTTGTAATTTTGCATTTTGCTATTTGCTCAAACGTTGCATTTTATGTGAATATTGTACAGCCCTAATTATAAAACAATGATCCAGCATTATTGTGAAATGGCAAATTTTAACTTTGATCAAAATGGTGGTTCTGTTTTAAAAGCTATTTTCTGCTGTAATTTCACATTTTATCCCCACCATTTCCTCATTGCTGTACCCATTTTTACATTAAACATAGCACAAAGTTAATTTTTTTAGCATTTTTCAATATCATAACATGTATTCGACCAAAAATTATACAATACATTGCTAATACTCATATTATTGGTCAAATCAGTTTTCATTTTGACAAATTTTCTCATTACGGTAAAATGTGACCTGTTTCTAAGCTAAACTGACAAACTCTGTAAAGCCACAAAATGCAGTTGTAAATAAATGCTTTTATTTGTCATAATTGTTAAAGCAACTGTTTGATGAAAAATTCAACCACTATAATTTCTCTATATGTACTTGATCAGCAAAGATGTGTTTGGTGGATGGAGTTTGCTTATTTAGTTTTGGCGCTATTTAGTTTTTGTGCTACAGTGTTACAGTGGATTCACTAGTGTAAGCATTATAGGTCTATTTAAATCATGACACACTTGCTTTAAACCATGAGGTGTTAAGAAATCTCATAGATTTGATTAGGTGGTTCTGACACTGTATGACATCCTGTTATCTATAAACATGGACAAAAGTATGTTGCATGGCTAAAACAGCAGTAGCGGTCATCTTGAAGCTTTAATTTTGTTGTACAGTATAAGAAACTACAAAGGAAAATGTGTTTGTGATTAACAACTTGATTGTGTGACTCATTAGCCGCTTAATTAAACTTCAGTAAACAAACATCTCTGCTAACTGACCATTTAAATAATTAGCTGAGATTGATAAATATCTGCATGTTGTTTAAGGCAAGTGTGTGATGATTTGGATCATTACATTTGCACCCCATGGCTCTTGTGCTGGCTGGACTGGTGGACAGGCCAAAACTCCGAGCACTCCCTTAGGAGGGGGAGACTGTGTGGCGTCTACTTATTTGTTTATATGTTTACTGGATTGCGTGAAAATTAATCAGAACATCCACAGAAACACTCATTTAAAACAATTAATTCAACATCATGGATAGCTAGATAGATCATTTGCATATTGCAGTCTTTAGCAATATTAGTATTGCAAAGACCAATACTGTGATGATGCTCACTGAATAAAATACTGTGCAGACTTATTTATTACAAATTTATTTAGTTATTAAGGCTTATTTTTCAGTAACAACTAACAAACTATTATGAAATGTGGTTATGAAAATGAAGAATTAAATCGTATCCCCACACATGGGACTTTATAGCTGAAGAGGTTAAGGAATAGTAAATTTATTCTAATTCTGGTAATAAAAACACTCACCCATGCATGATCTGATGTGCTCTCTCTGTTTCTGCACCTTCATCATCCTCTCTTTAACTCTCTCTTCCTCTGCTCTCCTCTTCTGTTTCACCTCCTGTAGAATCTTTCTGTCCATTTCAAAATGGCGTCCACTGTTTGCTGCCACCATCTCCTCTATCTTCTCCAGCAGCTCTGTGACCTGAGTGTCATCACTCCTGTTCTTATTGTTGAGAACATGATACCTGTTCCCACAATTCTCAACCAGCCACTGGAGCTCCTTCCCTCCACTCTCAATGTGCTGCTCTATGGGTGTGTCTCCCAGCCAGTCTCCATAGGTGAACAGCACTATAGTGTGACTCCACACTTTCTTAGTAAGAAGCTCCAAATATCCAATTATTATTTTTTTATTGTATTTTTTAAAAACACAGTCACCACGTATGATCAGTAGTACAGCATGAGGTCCTGGAGGACACAGAGACACACTGAGCACAATCTCCTGTTTCAGTAACTCAGTGCTCTCCTCTACTGGTGTATTCCACCTCCATCCTGGAGCTTCAACCACAGTGATGTGTCTCCCTGCTACTTCTCTCTGTCTCTTCACACACTGAGCAGTTCTCTTTAACTCAAACTCCTCTCTGTTCAGGATGGTGTTTCCTGCTGAACTCTTCCCAGCATATCTGTACCCCAGCAGCACAATCCTCAGCTCTGAGAGACGGTGAGAGTCACCTGCAAGAGTCATATATGTTTAAAAAGTTGTTGTTTAAAAAAATAGCACTGTTCTCACACCTAGTATTGTGTTAAGTATGGATGGCAGTTAAAGATACTATCACAGCAAACATACTGTATTTAATAACTAAACAAAAATAAATAAATAAATAAATATAAATAAATAATTATTGATCCTTGTGTTTCTGTTTAAATATATACTCATTTGTTTTTGCAGCCTTTATAGAAAAGGCGTTGAGGTAATGCTGACTGTTTCTCAGTCTTTCAGTGCACAAAACAATGTGCTTGCAGTTCTGATGTAAGCAGCTGTTAGTACTTCATTCGTTTTATTTTACGTGTTTTTATTTTAAAATTACAAAAGTTGCTTTTGTAATTTTGCATTTTGCTATTTGCTCAAACGTTGCATTTTATGTGAGTATTGTACAGCCCTAATTATAAAACAATGATCCAGCATTCTGGTGAAATGGCAATTTTAACTTTGATCAAAATGGTGGTTCTTTTAAAAGCTATTTTCTGCTGTAATTTCACATTTTTTTCCCACCATTTCCTCATTGCTGTATCCATTTTTACATTAAACATAGCACAAAGTAAATTTTTTTTAGCATTTTTCAATATCGTAACATGTATTCAACCAAAAATTATACAATACATTGCTAATACTCATATTATTGGTCAAATCAGTTTTCATTTTGACAAATTTTCTCATTACGGTAAAGTGTGACCTGTTTCTAAGCTAAACTGACAAACTCTCTAAAGCCACAAAATGCAATTGTAAATAAATGCTTTTATTTGTCATAATTGTTAAAGCAACTGTTTGATGAAAAATTCAACCACTATAATTTCTCTATATGTACTTGGTCAGCAAAGATGTGTTTGGTGGATGGAGTTTGCTTATTTAGTTTTGGTGCTATTTAGTTTTTGTGCTACAGTGTTACAGTGGATTCACTTGTGTAAACATTATAGGTCAACATTAAAGTATGTTGCATGTCTAAAACAGCAGTAGCGGTCATCTTGAAGCTTTAATTGTGTTGTACAGTATAAGAAACTACAAAGGAAAATGTGTTTGTGATTAGTTAACAACTTGATTGTGTGACTCATTAGCCGCTTAATTAAACTTCAGTAAACAAACATCTCTGCTAACTGACCATTTAAATAATTAGCTGAGATTAATAAATATCTGCATGGTGTTTGAGGCAAGTGTGTGATGATTCGGACATTACATTTGCTTGATGCTAGTGAGTGATCAATAGCTTCTAATAACTGTTAGTTATATTAAACAGCAGAAAACTTCACCAAACAGGTCTTGGCTGACGGACAGCATGGAAAATGTGTACATTTGATTTTTGCCAGACTTGTGTTTTGATCGTAGAGCTTATATTTAACAACGCTCATTTCTGTAAGAGGTGAATTACCAAAAAAGTTAACAAAATTATGTGGTAATGAGGAATAAATGTAATGGTAACAAGTTGCCCTTAGCTTTCGTGGTCAATGTTAGCAGTAGCAAAGGTGAACGTTTTGGAAAACTTGGCTGTTACATACATAAATACACATTATATGAAGTCTGGGACTTTGTGTCAAATATTACTTTAAAAAAATCTACACCAAAAGTGGAGGCAGCATTGCTTTGTAGCCATATTTGATCTTCACTTATCTCTGGTGCATCAAAAAAAAAAATGTGTTCGACAACTTTACTTGTAGTTTTTACACAGAGAGGTTACAGTACATTCATCTTCCTTAAAATCAGTTTTGCTTACGGTTTGCTTAGGTTTGAAATATTTTTATTTTAATCAAAAGTGCACTATTTGGATAACTTTTGATTTTAGGTTTGTGTTTTATTAGTTTATAAGTTTCACTCTTCGAATTCACAAAAAAACTACCATGACTAGGTATGAAAAAGAAATTTCAGTTGAAAACCTCTTAAAAATTCTATGAAATTTTAGATACTGCTCCAAACATTTGCATCTTCCATTAAATTGGGTCAAAGGGCTACATATTTATTTTTTCAAAATTCTGCTTTTCTACTTCTTTGTAGTTAGCGCTCTGGATTTCATGGAACACAGTAAAAAACATTGTAACTGGCTGGATGAATCATTTGCACATTGCAGTCTTTAGCAATATTAGTATTGCAAAAGCTAACATTGCAATAATGATTACTGAACAATATATGGTGCATATTTACTTATGCAGTTAATAAGGCATATTATTCAGTGACAACTGTTACACTATAATTTGATGTATGTAGTTGCAACAGTGAAGAATTAAAGTGTGTTAAAGGGCTAATGTATAATAATTTTAACCTAGTTTAGATAGTAAAAACACTCACGCATCCATGATCTGATGTGCTCTCTCTGTTTCTGCACCTTCATCATCCTCTCTTTAGCTCTCTCTTCCTCTGCTCTCCTCTTCTCTTCCACCTCCTGGAGAATCTTTCTGTCCATTTCAAAATGGCGTCCACTGTTTGCTGCCACCATCTCCTCTATCTTCTCCAGCAGCTCTGTGACCTGAGTGTCATCACTCCTGTTCTTATTGTTGAGAACATGATACCTGTTCCCACAATTCTCAACCAGCCACTGGAGCTCCTTCCCTTCACTCTCAATGTGCTGCTCTATGGGTGTGTCTCCCAGACAGTCTCCACAGGTGAACAGCACTATAGTGTGACTCCACACTGTATCAGTGAGATGTTTCAGGTGTCCGTCTAATATGTTTCTATAGTTCTCTTTAAACATGATGCCCAGACGTATGATCAGCAGCAGACAGTGAGGTCCTGGAGGACACAGAGACACACTGAGCACAATCTCCTGTTTCAGTAACTCAGTGCTCCTCTCTACAGGTATATTCCTCCACCATCCTGGAGCTTCAACCACAGTGATGTGTCTCCCTGCTACTTCTCTCTGTCTCTTCACACACTGAGCAGTTCTCTTTAACTCAAACTCCTCTCTGTTCAGGATGGTGTTTCCTGCTGAACTCTTCCCAGCATCTCTGTACCCCAGCAGCACAATCCTCAGCTCTGAGAGACGGTGAGAGTCACCTACAGGAGGAAAAAAAGAGAGACACCCTTTAATCATTATCAGTACTGTTTGGAGAAAATTAAATTCTGTATTAATTTGATTATTAAGTAGACAGTTCAGAAAAAAATGTAATACATGAATTAAGTCTCTGATATTCAATTACAAAACTAAAATACTGACCGTCAACTATACTCAATGGTGAATATACAGGTTTTTTGAGCAAACATCGACTTGCTCTGACAGTGATACAAAATGATTTAGTCCATTACAGGGATTTTTTAGCTACTCATATAAGTTGTTCATGATAGATTTCTAAAAAAGTCAAAATACCCAACAAGTCCACGTGTCATACTGCAATATTGGGTAACTTGGGAGGAGGAGCTCCCTGGGTAAGAAGTCCCCTCAGATTTTTCCACTTCTATTCAAATAATGGGGGCAAATCCAATTTTAACACATTTGATGAAGAATCATAGTCTAATTAATCCTGAAATTTTATTTGGATGATGTGGTTTCTGGGATTTATTCTCATAGAAACCTTTTGTTACTGGATCAGAGTGATCTGTGAATTTATATCAAGTTGTATCAGAAAATGTATTAAACTATATGATAATATGTGTTGTGGAAAGCCTCTGCATTTACATTTGATCTGAAGAGGAAAAAACATCAGAGCCGTCTTTACATTGTCATCGTTTATACTCATTACTTTATATGACTTCACCATTAATTACTAATTCATGTGTCTCTCCAAGTAAAGTGACAATCGTCATGACTAATAAACTAGTTATACTACAGATTCGTGATTTAGAGCAGCTTGTACCACTTCACTGTGAATCACAGAAGAAACTTATGTGGACATGCTGGTTAGGCCTGAATCACAGGCTGCTTTTTCAAAGATATGTAGACAGTGGTCTTTATTAGAAATGGAGTGAAATAAGCACATATTGACGTTATGTGTCATGCTTTTATTTTATTTTAAACTGTAAGGTGCCAAAAGAGTTTTTTGGAGTGATCCCATAGAAAACCTAACCACTGATCCCTAAAGCATCTGCCAGTGGTTGAGATTTCCAAGTATGAGAGACGCGTTTTCGTTTAATAAGAAAACTGATTTGTTCGGATTATTGTGAAGGACAGTTTAGAATAAATGTTAATTGATAATGTATGTATACGTTTCTCTATACTTGACGGGACACAAAAACAAGTTAATTAAGACATCAGTTCTTAGTCAAGTCTGAACCATGACTTTATACTGTAATTAGCAGTGAGAATAAAACTGAATGATGAAACTAATAACCACTGGGAGGGACATAAAGTAGCAATTAATTAATAATAATAAACCAGTTAATTAACAGACAATTAAAAGGATTAACACATTAGTACTTGTTAGCTCTCATGCTACTTCTAACAAATGATAAGTTAAGTGTCCTTATTAACTAGTTACTAAGTACTTCATCAGTAACTAAGTAACACTACGGTTTAATGGACAGTTAACTGATACAGAAATATGAAAACTGTATTACTTATTTTCAGATGATTATCAATGAATGTATCCCCCCTTAATGTAAAGTGTTACCAGCTGAATGATTAATGAAGTGTGGGGATGCACCAATCACAAATTTTTATGGGTGATTCCAATTCCAGTTTCTTCACAGCCTTATTGGCCAATTTTGTTGGACTTCTTTCTTTTAAGCTCATGCTGTTTGGTGAAACTAACATATGAAACACACAAGCCCACTTCCAGTGCTTTTTACTTACTCGCAAAATAAACAGCCTTATTTAGTCTTTAATAAGCCAAACTGGCATTTTTGAAACTTTCAATTTAAATCATATCCCTATTTAAATAACTGGAATCAAATAAAGTGCTACACTGAAAGTGAGAGGCAACTGACTATTTAGCACAATAAGTCATAATTACTCTACCACGTTTGGTCTCAGCACAGCAACAGCATTCAAATCCATCATGAGTTCACTTTCCTGTCTCATGTTATTTACATCATAAAACTGCAACAAAGACCAGCTAAAATAAAAATAATACATTGTTTGATCAGCTTTGTGTTTTGAGAAAATGATCTGTTGATTCTGATCTCAGCTTATTCTGATTGTACATCCCTAAAAATAGTTTAAAGAAACTGGGTAATTAATTTATTGTAGACATTATAATGGTAATCTGAAGCTGTTTGATTCAGGACATGCTGAAGACTGAACAGGATGACTGAAACTGGCCTCCTGAGAAAAACATCATTTATTCTGATGTTCGTTAAATTCAAGAAATCCACTCAGAACTGGTGAATATCTCAGTCTTATTCTGATTGGGACTGAAATCAAAACGCTGAATATATTCATTAAATGACTCACACATGTGTGATCTGAGGTCTTCTCTCTGTTTCTGCACCTTCATCATCCTCTCTTTAGCTCTCTCTTCCTCTGCTCTCCTCTTCTCTTCCACCTCCTGGAGAATCTTTCTGTCCATTTCAAAATGGCATCCACTGTTTGCTGCCACCATCTCCTCTATCTTCTCCAGCAGCTCTGTGACCTGAGTGTCATCACTCCTGTTCTTATTGTTGAGAACATGATACCTGTTCCCACATTTCTCAACCAGCCACTGGAGCTCCTTCCCTTCACTCTCAATGTGCTGCTCTATGGGTGTGTCTCCCAGACAGTCTCCACAGGTGAACAGCACTATAGTGTGATTCCACACTGAATCAGAGAGAAGATTCAGATGTCCCTTGAATGAATCTCTCATGAATTTAGTCAAAGAACAAGGTGCTTCAAGTACCAGCAGCAGACAGTGAGGTCCTGGAGGACACAGAGACACACTGAACACAATCTCCTGTTTCAGTAACTCAGTGCTCCTCTCTACAGGTTCATTCCTCCACCATCCTGGAGCTTCAACCACAGTGATGTGTCTCCCTGCTACTTCTCTCTGTCTCTTCACACACTGAGCAGCTCTCTTTATCTCAAACTCCTCTCTGTTCAGGATGGTGTTTCCTGCTGAACTCTTCCCAGAATATCTGTCTCCCAGCAGCACAATCCTCAGCTCTGAGAGACGCTGTGCATCACCTGCAGGTGAAAACAATTTTTTTTCAGTAAATCAGAGAGATTAGATGTAATAAAAAATATAATCTGTATAAAATAAAATACTATATTTGTTTCCACATATGATCAACTGTGGGGTTTTGTGTTCTGATTATGAATATAATTTAATGCAGTAATAGTAAAAGCTCAGTGGTGTCCTGTGACGTGAGAATCTGAACAATGCTCGGAGTTGCAGAGTGCTGCCGTGTTGATTCAGAATGTCAGCACCAGTGGACGTCCAGTCATTGAAAAGAATGGTTTTGAATTTTTGGATGTTCCACAACAACATGGGCATGTCAGGGAAACGGTGGCCTTCAGTAACTGTGAAAATGACCAATTCTATGCTTTACTATTGCATAAATAAAAGCCTTATCAAGAAGAAAAGCACACACAGTCCTCTCTTCTAAGCAGGAAGAAGTGCAGCAGGTTTGCTGGCCCTGACATAAAAGATGTAGGGGAAGTAGAGGATCATGCTCTGGAAGAAGAACATGAGAAGGAAGTAGGGGTAACAGGAAAAACAATAAGTCCTTTTTTTGTGAAACTTTACAGGACCCCGGCTACAAAACACTGACATAACCATGCCATAACAATGTCATGGCAGATGTCATATACTGTTATGACTTGTCATAACTGATCTATGTGCATTACAACAATGTCATATTACCATTGTCACTATCGGTCATGACAGATGTTTAATAACATGCTAACTTAATCATTACATCAAATAGTACAGAATCTGTCATGACAATTACAGGCAATCTTCCCAAAGTAGAGTTAAGATTTAGGCTAAATTCTACATATAAATTCTTTAGTAAAATGGAAACTGCAACACTATCAATCTGTGGAAAGTGGAACCCAATAACAGACACCATAAAAACACTGAATACAGTTATTAAATTGCTTACTCATTAGTGATCTGAGGTCTTCTCTCTGTTTCTGCACCTTCATCATCCTCTCTTTAGCTCTCTCTTCCTCTGCTCTCCTCTTCTCTTCCACCTCCCGTAGAATCTTTCTGTCCAGTTCAAAATGGCGTCCACTGTTTGCTGCCACCATCTCCTCTATCTTCTCCAGCAGCTCTGTGACCTGAGTGTCATCACTCCTGTTCTTATTGTTGAGAACATGATACCTGTTCCCACAATTCTCAACCAGCCACTGGAGCTCCTTCCCTTCACTCTCAATGTGCTGCTCTATGGGTGTGTCTCCCAGACAGTCTCCACAGGTGAACAGCACTATAGTGTCACTCCACACTGTATCAGTGAGAAGTTTCAGGTATCCCAATAAGGCTGTTCTCTCCTTCTCTCTAAATATGGAGTCTCCACGTATGATCAGCAGCAGACAGTGAGGTCCTGGAGGACACAGAGACACACTGAGCACAATCTCCTGTTTCAGTAACTCAGTGCTCTCCTCTACAGGTTTATTCCTCCACCATCCTGGAGCTTCAACCACAGTGATGTGTCTCCCTGCTACTTCTCTCTGTCTCTTCACACACTGAGCAGTTCTCTTTAACTCAAACTCCTCTCTGTTCAGGATGGTGTTTCCTGCTGAACTCTTCCCAGAATATCTGTCCCCCAGCAGCACAATCCTCAGCTCTGAGAGACGCTGTGCATCACCTGCAGGTGAAAACATTTTTTTTTTTCAGTAAATCAGAGGGATTAGTTGTAATAAAAAATATAATCTGTATAAAATAAAATACTACATTTGTTTATTAGTAATCAGTAATTATAAAGATAAAATGAAATGTTACTATATGTAACAATAAATCAATTTAATATGGAAAACTATTGTTGGCAACTTTCATTAGAACTATCATGGAATAAAAAGGATGAATGTAGATAGATGAAGGCAGTGTTTCACTTCTTCACTTATGATGTCTAATAACAGACACAATTCTGTCAGCTTTTGAAATTATAAAATTATACGTTTTGTCATATTAAGTTATATTTTCATTAAAGTTTAACATTACAGATTCATAGGAATGTGCATGAGCCGATTCCTAGGAAAAGTGGCAGACAAAGTTATGGACAGGCTCAGCCATCATCACTTCTCCTATGACAAGAACCATTCAGATCTTAAGTCAAGACAGTAAGAAGCACATGTGATTCATGTCACACCATCCTCAGGATACAATCTTTCATACAGAAGAAGACAGAAACTATTTCTGCCTTTAGATCTGCTCTCCTCCTTCAACAACGTCATTTCTTAATGCTGACATCACATTTATTTTAATATGTACAGAATCTGATCTAACAAAGCCAAGAATAAACAGATTTTTATTTTGTTTGTATCACACAGCGCCATTGTGAGCAAGTTAACACATGACTGTACTTTACATTTCAGTGATCTTTGACTGTTACTCTAATGACAAAAGGTCCTATGGTTTTCTGCCTGTACCTGACTCTTAGTGCATTCACAAAAAAGTTGAAATGAAATGACTATATTAGTGTGAGTAATTCATGTAGACTATAAATAAGATCCTGTGACTAAAGCATTTCTCTCATGCAGGTTTCTGTTACAAATCAATAACAAACATCACCTCACAACAATTCAAGCTTCCCAACAATAAATATTATTTATATCATTATTTATTGGCACATTTCTATCATGTTAGGATGTTCTAAGCACTTAACGTATTGTCTGTTTACACTTATTCAGACGTTCTGTCCATCAGTGACTCAGTGCATCATGGGGTGCAGGAATAACGTGTATAGAGAGTATGATAGTGTTCAATGATGACATATGAATTTACCCTGTTTAATATCAGGAAACTAACTGTTCACAAACTCACTGTCTTTGAACTAAATATACAAGGTGAAGAGAAAAGGTTAGTAAGGAGGATGAAAATTAGCATTTGTTTATCTTAATGTAAAGTCTTTCAGTGCCTTTCTCTGTGCACATTTTAATCCACATGTGATCAACTGTGGGGTTTTGTGTTCTGATTATGAATATAATTTAATGCAGTAATAGTAAAAGCTCAGTGGTGTCCTGTGATGTGAGAATCTGAACAATGCTCGGAGTTGCAGAGTGCTGCCGTGTGTCCATGCAGAATGTCAGCACCAGTGGACGTCCAGTCATTGAAAAGAATGGTTTTGAATTTTTGGATGTTCCACAACAACATGGGCATGTCAGGGAATCGGTGGCCTTCAGTAACTGTGAAAATGACCAATTCTATGCTTTACTATTGCATAAATAAAAGCCTTATCAAGAAGAAAAGTACACACAGTCCTCTCTTCTAAGCAGGAAGAAGTGCAGCAGGTTTGCTGGCCCTGACATAAAAGATGTAGGGGAAGTAGAGGATCATGCTCTGGAAGAAGAACATGAGAAGGAAGTAGGGGTAACAGGAAAAACAATACGCCCTTTTTTTGTGAAACTTTACAGGACCCCGGCTACAAAACACTGACATAACCATGCCATAACAATGCCATGGCAGATGTCATACGCTGTTATGACTTGTCATAACTGATCTATGTGCATTACAACAATGTCATATTACCATTGTCACTATCGGTCATGACAGATGTTTAATAACATGCTAACTTAATCATTACATCAAATAGTACAGAATCTGCCATGACAATTACAGGCAATCTTCCCAAAGTAGAGTTAGTTTAGGCTAAATTCTACATATAAATTCTTTAGTAAAATGGAAACTGCAACACTATCAATCTGTGGAAAGTGGAACCCAATAACAGACACCATAAAAACACTGAATACAGTTATTAAATTGCTTACTCATTAGTGATCTGAGGTCTTCTCTCTGTTTCTGCACCTTCATCATCCTCTCTTTAGCTCTCTCTTCCTCTGCTCTCCTCTTCTCTTCCACCTCCTGGAGAATCTTTCTGTCCATTTCAAAATGGCGTCCACTGTTTGCTGCCACCATCTCCTCTATCTTCTCCAGCAGCTCTGTGACCTGAGTGTCATCACTCCTGTTCTCATTGTTGAGAACATGATACCTGTTCCCACATTTCTCAACCAGCCACTGGAGCTCCTTCCCTTCACTCTCAATGTGCCTCTCTATGGGTGTGTCTCCCAGACAGTCTCCACAGGTGAACAGCACTATAGTGTGACTCCACACTGTATCAGAGAGAAGATTCAGATGTCCTTCGAATGAATCTCTCATGAATTTAGTCAAAGAACAAGGTGCTTCAAGTACCAGCAGCAGACAGTGAGGTCCTGGAGGACACAGAGACACACTTAGCACAATCTCCTGTTTCAGTAACTCAGTGTTCTCCTCTACAGGTTTATTCCTCCACCATCCTGGAGCTTCAACCACAGTGATGTGTCTCCCTGCTACTTCTCTCTGTCTCTTCACACACTGAGCAGTTCTCTTTAACTCAAACTCCTCTCTGTTCAGGATGGTGTTTCCTGCTGAACTCTTCCCAGCATTTCTGTACCCCAGCAGCACAATCCTCAGCTCTGAGAGACGCTGTGAGTCACCTGCAGGAGAAACAGAACTACATCTATCATGTGGTTCCAGACAGAAGATTAATATCAAATGTCATGATTCACATCCAAATAATAGGAAATTACAATTTACTCACACAAATGTGATTTTTTCTCTAGTTTCTGTCTCTGTTTTTTTATCATCCTCTCTTTTGCTCTCTCTTCCTCTGCTCTCCTCTTCTCTTCCACCTCCCGTAGAATCTTTCTGTCCATTTCAAAATGGCGTCCACTGTTTGCTGCCACCATCTCCTCTATCTTCTCCAGCAGCTCTGTGACCTGAGTGTCATCACTCCTGTTCTCATTGTTGAGAACAAGATACCTGTTCCCACATTTCTCAACCAGCCACTGGAGCTCCTTCCCTTCACTCTCAATGTGCTGCTCTATGGGTGTGTCTCCCAGCCAGTCTCCATGAGTGAACAGCACTATAGCGTGATTCCATACCGTCTCAGTGAGAAGGAACAGATGTTCAGTGACAGACTTTAGCAGACTGTCTTTCAATGATGCAGTGAGATTAACAAGTATCAGTAGAGCATGGGGTCCTGGGTGACAGTGTGACAGGCTCAGCAAAATCTCCTCTTTAGTGAGTTTGGACGTGAAGTCACTAGGTGTTTGTGTCCACCATCCTGGAGCCTGAACTACAGTTACATTTTTCCCTAAAACTATTGCTTCTCTCTTCACACACTGAGGAGTGCTTTTTAACTCAAACTCCTCTCTGTTCAAGATGGTGTTTCCTGTTGAACTCTTTCCAGAATATCTGCACCCCAACAGTACAATTCTCATTTCTGGGAGATGGAGTGTTTTACCTGTGTGAGGATAAAATGGCTTAATATTACTCAGAGGACGCTTTTCATATCTACTAAAAACAAAACTCTGCACATTTTTTTATTCTATTTTGAAAAACTGATGATGAAATGATCAAATTCTTCCATCTTTCAGTAAAGTCTAAACCTACATTAAATGTTTTCATATCTAAAACAGGTCACGCTGGTTTTAAAATATATGCATGACTTGTTTGTGTTTTTTCTATAATGTTTAACCAAAGCCTGTTCGGGTTTATCATTTCTTGTCCAACATACAGTAGTAAAATGATAGTCAGTCCCTTTTGAACAAATAACAAATACAGTTTTTTGTGCATGTGTATAGACGCGCTATCAATCATTCCAGTCTCTTTCTTTGTTTCACTGAATTGCTTTTTTTTTAAATAACGTACAAAATTTCATGTAATTTTGCCTTAGGTAAATGCTCCTTCCAATACAGTCATGACACACATCTGCAAGGGCATATGAGCCACATGCACCTCCTGATTCTCTTTGTTACTTGTTTACACAAAAAGTTCAAACATAGTAGCCTTATATATTGTGTCTTTAACTAAAACACAAAAAAATTTACTGTAATAAAAATAGAAAGGACACTTTTCAGAAACATGAAAACGAAATAAAAACTACAACATCCACGCAAAACTAACAAAACCTAACAGATTTACTGAGGAAAAATCTTGACTTTTTTTCAGTGCATGAACAAGAGTTTAGATGTGGATCCCTTCTGTATTTGCCTGTCTCTAAAGTTGGAGCTGAGCCAAGCTCAGTTTATTGTTGTGTTAATTTTATTCTACTTTTCTCAAAAACCTACTAACATAATAATACTAACAACTCATCCTAATACTATAAATCTAAAACTAAAAAAGCTCAACTGCAACTATTACTTTTCAAAAAATAAAACCAAAATTAAAACTATGAATTCACACTTGAACTAACTGAAACTAAACAGAAATCAAAAACTAAAATAAAAGACCAAATAAAAATTAAAACTAATGAGTTTCAAAACTCTAATCACTTGGGTGATTATTGGATATGGTGAATTAAATATGGTCTAAAATGAAACCAAATACCAAAATGATCAACAAAACATCAAATCACATACTCTTTAATTCATAGGCATTGTCAAAGAAAATCTAACTTATTTAAATGGTTGCCAAATCACAAGTCAGAAAACAACTGAAGATATGCAAATGCAATATGTTCTTTTATGAATTTTCTAATGATTAAGCAATGTAAAGTAACTGAATCGACTATTCAACTTTTTTATAAGAGAAGCTTTTCTGCAGAACTTGGTCAAAAGCAAATATAAGCCCTCTTTAGTGCTTTGCAGTGCAAACACTGCTTGTGTGAATGGCCAAAATGTGCAAACATAATTATTTTTTAAAGCATGCAGGAATTATTTAAGCAACTACTAATTGTTACAAAAAAAAAAACTTTTATTAAACTGGTACTGTGATTAAAGTAGAGGATAAATTTTATGCACTCCTCAGGCTATTTTTTTTTTTGTTTATTCATTATTCAATACTGTTCAGGTTCTCTTCGTACAGTTTCCAATCACTCACGTCCTTTCAAAACTGCACATACAATACAACACATAAATCAAAAGAAGAGAGACCTCACCCATCTTGGCTCTGAGGGCTTTTCTTTCTTCTTTCACCTTCATCAGCCTCATCTGCCCTCTGTCTTTATACTCTTTCCTCTTCTCTTCCACCTCCCGTAGAATCTTTCTGTCCAGTTCAAAATGGCGTCCACTGTTTGCTGCCACCATCTCCTCTATCTTCTCCAGCAGCTCTGTGACCTGAGTGTCATCACTCCTGTTCTTATTGTTGAGAACATGATACCTGTTCCCACATTTCTCAACCAGCCACTGGAGCTCCTTCCCTTCACTCTCAATGTGCTGCTCTATGGGTGTGTCTCCCAGACAGTCCCCATAGGTGAACAGCACTATAGTGTGACTCCAGGCCTTTTCTTGCAAAAGCTCCAGGTTCTTTGCTATCTCATTTCTGTCACTGTTTCTGAATTTTTCATTCAACGTCACCACTAACAGTACAGCATGAGGTCCTGGAGGACACATAGACACACCAAGCACCATCTCCTCTTTAAATAGTCTTGGTTCGAATCCAATTTTTGTCCTTTTCCATTCTGGTGTGTTGACTACAGTGATGTGTCTCCCTGCTACTTCTCTCTGTCTCTTCACACACTGAGCAGTTCTCTTTAACTCAAACTCCTCTCTGTTCAGGATGGTGTTTCCTGCTGAACTCTTCCCAGACTCAACATTTCCCACTAGCAGAATCCTCAGCTCTGAGAGACGGTGCTCTAATCATTTGACAAAATAAAGATTATACATATAGACCACATTTCAGCTAAAATAATTGCTTTTGTAAGATATTTTTATGTATAAGGTAATAATATGACATCACAATTATGTCACCGGAATTTATTACTTAAAAATTCTTGACAAAAGAGTGAACCTCCAAACTCACCAAAGTAGTTAATGACTTCATTGGTAGCCATTTTTCTCTGTCCCAATTTGTTCCCTAAAGCTCACTTTTCTAGAATGAAACAATACAAAACATTTCTTAAATTCTTCAAACCAATCATTTCTATAGAAAGTGAAATGCCAATGAACAGGAGCATCTAGTGGGTGTAAACAGTGAAGCTCTATTGGCTCAACTTAAACATATTTTATCTTATTTGCATTTATCATCTGATTTGTTTGTTGTCTGATTCATGTAATACTGAACAAGCCAGGACGTTGATTCTAACATTGAGACGTTAAGCATCACAAATTGTCTAGACCTATGACACCTGTTTTATCCAACAATGTAGGAACATTAGTCACTTACAAAATGCCTTTGTGATTAATAATCATAACCTGCTTGCCAAATTTAAAAAAACAACAATACTAATACACCTGTCTGCTGATGAGGAAGTATCAAGAATGGAGCACAGTAAACTGTTTATCTGTACAGTAGCTCCTCCTTCATAACTGTTCAGGCTGGTTAGACATGAAAAACATAAGACATTTTTAACTTTACTGCCTTGCCTTCCTTTTTTACAACTGGGTTTGCAGTTGTACAATAACTTGAATGAGGGTGTTTTCATGGGGATGGGAGTGTAGCTAAGTAGCGTGCAATTGTTTGTAGCCAACTACAAATTTTTATAGCTAATAGCTGTAGCCGCTACAGTTTATGAAATGTAGCTAATAGCTGTAGCACCTACAAATTTTTGTGTAGCTATAGCGAAAATTTTTGATACAATTTCGCTACAGGCTTCAAGCAGAATCTGAACCATAGAACGATGTCGTTAACTGGGCTAGCGGCGACTGTGCAGTCCTGACTGACCCGCAGACAGTTTGAGCAAACGGTCACTCGCTGATCACCCCTTACTAGTAGGCTTAACCAGGTTGGCAACCAAAATGTTAAGAAGAGCCATTTTGTCTTTCAACAAAATTGAAATCACCTTGGGAGCAACTACTATGTTATATCCATTTTACCATCTTGACTGTAAATATGTCTCAGTATGTGTTAATGTGCTAGTACAGGTTAAAAATATAAACAAAAACACAGACTTACTTTGCTTTGCTTTAACCTTTAGCTCAGCTATAGCAGCTTTTCTCACCTCTCAGTCAAGAAATTTTCTGTGAATATAGCTAGAGTTTCTTGTAAAATGTCTCTCAATGTTTGACTTTTTACTTTTTACTTTTTACTTTTTAGTCGCTTCTCCTTCGAAAGAGAAACTGACAGCTTTGTGACTTTTTAGTTTTTGACAGTTTCTCGTTGCAGATTAAACGTATCAGGAAACCAGCTGAGTTCTTCAACAAATGCAAATAAGTTAATTCATCTCCAAATTATCAGTGTTCGTCTTAAATCTCTCTCTTTGCCGTTTCGTTAGCTACTAGCTAGGCGAGACTGTTATTATTTGCACTGCCGTGTGACCGGCAGTCTGCATGCTGATCTGCAGGGTTAAAGGGTGAATTAGCAGTTCTACATTAACTCCAACTTTTAAGACCATTTATTGTGAAAAACTGTGTTAGAACTGTGTGTTAGAACGATCAGCAGAGCTTTATTTTACAGCAAAGCAGGATTATGTTATTTTATCTAAAATCTAGTGCTGCTGTGAAGCCGCGTGTTGAGGACCCCTGGCTTAGCTAAAGCAGAAAAAAACATAACACACTAATAATAATAGATTGTTACTAATAGTACTGCGTAGGTCAGGGTGAACAATAAAAATATGTGACTGTAATTTAAAACTGCTCAATTTAATATAATCTCTTGTGCATCTTTAGGATCATTTGCTTCCTTTTGCATGTTTCTGTGTCTGTCTGTGTTGAGTATACTGAGGTTTCTCTCATGCTCAGATACACTTCAGTTCCAATTTCTTTTTTTTTTTTTCTATCCAATGCAGAAGATTCATGAGCATCACCACAGAGTGAGCACAACATTTAAATGTGGTAACTTACTTCAAGGAGGAACATCTAGAGTCTACACATTCCTGACAGCTGCTCTCTCAGATTTCAGATCTGTTCTGCAAATATTATCGGTGACTTGCACTAATAGAGTTTAAGCTTGAAGTTGAATTCAATCAAAGGTTGCCCGAAATGTATAAACCTAGGTTGAAATAAACTCTCTCATATATTCAAGTGTTCCCCACTCACTGTAAACATAATGAGAAGAATACTTTCCAATTATTCCGTCAGCTGATTTTAACTTAAAATGCTTGAAACATTAAATTGTTCAGTGATTGCAGTGCAAGGGAATGAGATTTGACCAAGAGCTATATGAACCGTCGCTGCTTCTTATGAATGAAAATGGAAGCAGTGATCTAAGGGCATTCATGCTTTATGCATATGTGTTATATTTTTAGTTGTTATGAAATGCAGTTCAATAGATTTTCTTTTATTATTATTTGGAAAAACAACATTTTAAATACCTTTAAATTGGATTTTAAGTGTGTATTTTAATGTAGTAACATTTCTGTGAGATTAATTGTATAAAGGTGGCCAAGTTAAGAATACAAAAATATAACACCTACAGCCAATTACTCTTTTTCTCCTGAAGAAAGTCAACTAAGCTCTCAAATCTAAACACAGTTTATGCTAGCCACCTACATAAGAGGGCTAGCATTATTAAGGACTCAATCTACCCAGGTCACAGACTGTCTGTCCCCCTCTCATCGGGCAAAAATATTTAGGACCATTAGGACACGCACTAACAGACTGAGGAACAGCTTCTTCCCTACAGCCATCGCATCCATCATATCCCCCCACACAGACACTCACACGCTCTTTACCCACACACCCATAGCTGTTGAAGACTGAAGGCAGCAAACAAACCAGTCTCTCTTATCCTCCACCCCTTCTGATGTGCTGATGTGCTCAGTGACTTTAAACATGGCACCGTCATAGGATGCAACCTCTGCCAAAAGTCAGTCTGTAAAATTTCTGCCCTGTTAGATCTGCTCATCAACTGTAAGTGCTATTAATGTGAAATGGAAGCATCTAGGAGCAACAACAGCTCAGCCAGGAAGCGGTAGACAATGCAAACTTACAGAGAGGGGCCACCAAGTGCTGAAGTGCACAGTGCCTATCCTCTGTTGAATCATCACTAAAGAGTTCCAAATTGCCTCTGGACGCAACACCAACAAAAGGACTGTGTATTAGGTGCTTCTCGCTTTGGGTTTCCATGGCTGAGCAGCTACACACAAGCCTAAGATCAAACTGCACAATGCCAAGCATTAGATGGAGTGGTGTAAAGCACATCACCACTGGACTCTGGAGCAGTGGAAACGCATTCTGTGGAGAGATGAATCACGCTTCTCTATCTGTCAGTCTCATGGACGAGTCTGGGTTTGGTGAATGCCAGGACAATATTACCTGCCTGACTGCACTGTGCCAACTGTAAAGTTTGGTGGAGGAGGGATAATGCTGTGGGGTTGTTTTTCAGGGGTTGGCCTAGGCCTCTTAGTTCCAGTGAAGAGAAATCTTAATGCTTCAGCAGACCAAGACATTTTGGACAATTCTATGCTTCCAACTTTATGGGAACAGTTTGGGGAAGAACCTTTTCTGTTCCAGCATGACTGAGCCACAGTGCACAAAGCAAGGTCCGTAAGGCATGGCTGGGTGAGTTTGGGGAGAAGAACTTGACTGGCCCTCAAAGAGCCCTGACCTCAAGCCCATCGGTCACCTTTGTGATGAACTAGAACAGAGATTGCGAGCCAGGTCCTCTCGTCCAACATGAGTGTCTGACCTCACAAATGCTCCTCTGGATGAACAGACAAAGATTCCCACAGAAACTCTCCAAAATCTTGTAGAAAGCTTCCCAGAAGAGTGGAAGCTGTTATAGCTGCAAAGGGGGACAAATTCCATATCAATGCCTATGGATTTAGAATGGGATATCATAAAAGCTCTTGTGGGTGTTATGTATGTGTCCCCAATAGTTTTGTCCATATAGTGTACCTGTTTATACCTGTATACACTGCACTGTTTGCACTAAGCAGATCCATTGCATACATATATAGTCCATTTTTTCCCATCAGAGCTCAGGGAGAACAGGGAGTCAGATGATTTGTAATTAAAAATGCTACAGCATCGATATGAGGGCACATATGTGTGTGTGTGTGTGAGAGAGAGAGAGAGAGTCTGCAGCTGTAAAATAAACAGTAAGATAGTGTTCGCTAACCCAAGCCACAGATTGCATATATCACAGTAACATCATCCACGCAGAGATTAACAGCGTTACCAACATGAAGCAGCGCTACAAACATGTAAAGAAAATGCTAACATCTAAGCACTAATCACAGCAGCTGTGAACTAACCTTGAACTAAACTGTGTCTGTGAAAGTGAAACTAACTTGAGAACATGACAAACAAGCATTATACAGGCTTTAATAAAGCAACAAGCCACTCGAGACAGTGTTACTGTGATTTTAACACAGGGAAGAGTGTGCTCTTAGGCACCAAGCAAAACAGCGTGCCTAAAACCCTTTTCTCCTTGATGAAATCACAGTAACACACGGCCTCTAGTGACTCATTGCTTTATGAAACAGCGAAAAAATATGATAAAACACAGTTTTTCAGAAAATAATTTGTTAATATTAAAAATAATTGACATAACCAGCTCCCGAGTGGCGCAACCGTCTAAGCGTTGGCCCTATCATCAGGAGATCGCGAGTTCGATCCCTGGTGATGCTACAGCCATCCGTAGCCGGGAGTCCGAGAGAGCACAATTGGCCTCGCTCTCTCTGGGTGGGTAGGATGGCCCCTCCTTCTCCCCCCATCACTCAGCGCGATGCTAGTCAGCGCAGGCGTCTGTTAGCTGACGTAACAGATCTGGCGGTTGGCGCTTTCCTCCGAGCGCGTTCGGCTGTCCAGTGACGTTGCGTGAGCGGCAGTTCGAAAAAGAAGCGGTGGTTGGCTTCACAGGTCTCGGAGGAAGCCTGTGTTAGCCTTCACCCTCCTAGCGTTGATAGCATCGTGTGATTGGGGGAGTCCTAACTAGCGGGTGGAATTGGAG